GAGAGAGAGAGAGAGAGAGAGAGAGAATTTTTTAATATTTATTTAGTTTTCGGCGGACACAACATCTTTGTATGTGGTGCTGAGGATCGAACCCGGGCCTCACACATGCCAGGCGAGCKCGCTACCACTTGAGCCACATCCCCAGCCCAAGAGAGAAAACTTTTTTATTCAAGTATTGGCTTCAGTTTCTGTGCTAGTTGCTCATTGTATGAAGTCTTCACCACCATTCCTTCCCTTCTCCTGCCTATTCARATACTTTTTTATTCAAGTACTAATTTTGTGAATTCACCATCTAGTATGTGTAGTTATGTAATTATGTTGCTGCACTCAGGACATAATTCAGTCTACATTATCTCTAAGGGAAAAGGTGGGAGAGGGAGGTGGGGAGGGAAGGGGGAAGTACTGGGAACTGCAGTGGAGCAAATGATTCCATGCTTGTATGAGTATGTCAAAATGAACCCCAATATTATGTACAACTATCATGCACTAATGAAAACAGAAAAAAGGGAAAAATGAAAGGAAAAAAGTTAATAATAGAATATAACCTGGGGTAAAAGGTGAGAATTAAATTTTGTGACTATCTGACTTCATCTATAGTTATATAGCAATAAGTGACCTTGTATATTGATCCTAGGGTACTAAAAGATTTCAAATCATTAGGAAATACTAAATTATAGATGGTATACTAGAGGACAAAACATTTTAGATTTAAGTCATTTCCCCATTCCTTAAGTCTGCTGCTTACATAAAAGATAAGTCTCTCACTGCTAATTATCTTACCCTGAAKACCTCTGCTTGCTTGCTTTCTCCTGGGTACTAGTGGTTGGGTGTGGCTTCAGTTTCTGTGCTAGTTGCTCATTGTATGAAGTCTTCACCACCATTCCTTCCCCTCTTCTCTGTTTTTGTTGCTAGCCCTCTTTCCACATCATGTAAGCCAACACATTGAAGTCTTTCTTATTGCCTGATTCTCATATCACTTTGTTAGCCAGGTTTATTCCCTGAGTGACTCTTATGTGTCAGAAATTGTGCTAGGAACTGCAGACCCCAAAACTAATAAAACGCCGTTTTTGCTCTTCTGGAGCCCCAAGGTCTGTCAAAGAGTAGACACTGGTAAATTCCAGCCCACGCCAAGGATTAGGAGATTTGAGACAAAGGAAGAGGCAAGGGTAGACTAAAGGAATACGGATGTCAAGCCAAGTGCCGACCTTAGAGAACCAYCACAGAAGTTTAAGCATTCCAGTTCATTATTTATTTTAAAAAATTTTGTAGTCAAAATGAATACACATGCATAACAGGATGTACAATAAACTAAAGAACATAAGAAATCTTACCATCAGCAAATGTTCTTTTGAAGAAATTAATTTTTAATTAATAAATAATAATTATATCTGTGGGTTGAAATGTGCTGTTTTGATATATGTATATATTATAGAACAATGAAATCAAGCTAATATGTCCATCACCTTATATATCTTTATAGTGTGAACATCTAAAGACCACTCTTAACAATTTTTAAATACGTTACATTTTTATTGACTATTGTCACCATGCTGTGCAACAGATCTCTGGAATCTCCTAAATGAAACTTTTTATACCCTTTGACCAACATCTCAACAAAAATTTTTGGCTTATAACCTTAAGCGTGCTACATATACTCTTTGTTTTTGGCAGATGCCCTTTACTGGGTTTATCAGTTTCTTGTTTGCAAACTGGCTTGTTTTTAAAGAAAATTATGAACAAGTATTTAATTTTCATTTTATTAAATCCTTTTTCCTACACTTACTGGAGGGATCATACTCCCCACTCTCCCTTCAGTCAGTCGTGTGATGAAATGCGTTGATCCCCACCCCATGTTAAAACAACCTTGCTGCCCTGGGATAAGCCCAGGGTTGTGTTTTTAGGTCATTATTAGACTCATTTCATTGTCTTTGTTTCTTTGTCTTTATTCATAATTGAGCTGGGTCTGTAGTTTTCTTTTTCTTGCACAGTTAACATTTGTGCCACATTCTGTGATATGACAAGGGGATTGTTTTATTTATTTGACTCTGCATTCTTTGCAGTAGTAAATAGACGTCCTACAGTGTACCCTTTTGAGTAATGTGGTATTTCACCACATTATGAAGTTTTTCTTTGGAGTGGAGATTTTAGAGTTTGGTTTAAATTCTTTGGGGGATAAGGCCAGTTTGGGTTTTATTTATTTGGGGTCTTTCTTGAATGAAACATTTCTGTAAAGTACAGTTGAGTCCTTTTAAAAACAAATTGTTCTTTGTCATGAACAGAAGTCGTCAGACCTTGAAAGTCAGAGAACATAGTGTGTTGGGACCCTATGTGGATGGACTTTCTAAACTGGCTGTAACAAGCTATAAGGTAACAGCATTCTTTATATGAACTACTTAAATTTAGTATATTTTTTGTTTGTTTTAAAAATTAAATTTACAATAGCATCATTTAATAGTAACTTTTTAAGAAAAAGTTGTAAAAAGGAGTCAGTGGATTATGAGATCAGAGAATAAATGTAGGCTAAATATGATGAGGTCTTAAAATTAAGCCTTAGGGTTTTCAGGCTTAACAGAGCTAAAATGGGTTTGGTAGTGAATTTTACCTTTTGTTGTTGTTTTTTTATTCTGGTACCATTTTATACTTCTTTTGCAGTTAATGTTTTTACTTTGAGGCTTTTTCTCTATCATGTTGAATTTTTCCTTAAACATTATTCTTTTTTACTTAATATGCATAAACAGAATCTTATAATGATTTGCAAAGTTTTCCACACGTGTGTCAGTTTAGGATAATATTCAATTGCAGATAACATAAAAAATGTAACGGGGCTAGGGCTCAGTGGTAGAGCTCTTGCCTAGCACATGTGAGGCCCTAGGTTTAATCATCAGCACCATATAACGATAAATAATAAAATATAGGTATTATATCCATCTGCAACTAAAAAAAATAAAAACATAACAGGATTTAATATTTTTAAAATATTTTTTAGTTGTTAATGGACCTTTATTTTTTATTTATTTATATGTGATGCTGGGGTTCGAACCTAGTGCCTCACACGTGCAAGGCAAGCGCTCTACCACTAAGCCACAACCCCAGCCCAGGATTTAATATTTTGAAGTGTGGGTTATTATCTGTTTTGTTCATTATTTATCCTCAGTGTCCAGAAAGTACCTGGCTTATGGTAGATGCTCTCAGTATACATCGGAGTGGAGGAACGAATGCTGATTTAAATAAGGTTTTCATGTAAAAGAAGTCTGGAGGTAGAGGCTGGTTTGGTGGCTCCAAGGTGTTATTAGGGACTTGCATTCTTCCCCACCCCACATAGAGAGATGTAACGACCATGTTCTCATAGTTCAAGACAACTCTTAGAACCAGGATATGATGGTAAGCTACTCCTTTTAAGGAGAGTGGCCCAGATAGTCTCTATTATACTTATTTGCCAAATTGTACTCATGGGGCCAGACCGAGGTGCAAGGGCATCTGGGAAATGTGATCTCGCAGCTCTGCTGCTTGCACTTAGCTAGAGTTCCTTTACTGAGTTCATAGTAGGCAACTAGACAGCTCTTTCAGATGTACCATCTTTTTTGTTCCTTATGAAAATTCTTGTAAAGTAGATGATTTAGTTTTATTTATTTATCTTCTGTGCTATGGATTGAACCCAGGGCCTTGTGTATATTAAACAGGAGCTCTACCACTGAGCCATTTGCTTAGTCTAAGTAGATGGTTTTATAACTCTCTGTTGTAATTAATGAAATTAAAGTTTCAGATTTTTCAGATTGGTCAAATAACCCTTTTAGAGCTTATAACATTTTTTAAAATGAAAATTCCATTATCTTGGGCTGGGGTTGTAGTCAGTGATAGAGTGTTTGCCTTGTATGGGTGAAGCCCTTGGTTTGATCCTTAGCACCACATAAAAATAAACAAATAAAAATAAAAATATTATGTCCATCTACAACTAAACAAATTTATTTTTTAAATCTCACCTTTCTTTCTGTTATACTGTCTCTCTTTGAGTGGTAATAGCATCAAAGTAGCAAATCTCTGCAGAAACTAGTTTCTTGATATTCTCATTTTTAAGAACAGGTCCAATAAGATATGTGCCCAGTATGTGGGAAATAATATGCATGGGTGAAGAGGTTACAAGTAAATTATTTTTATTTGATTTTTGCTTATTTATATTATCTAATTTATTTAAAAATATATTTATTTACTTTTTTTTTTAAACAGTAATGGGCTTCATGCATGCTAAGCAAGTGCTCTACCACTGAGCTACATCCTCGWCCCTTTTAAAATATTTATTTTTCTATTTATGCGGTACTGGGAATTGAACCCAGGGTGCTCTACTACCAAGCTGCATCCCCAGCTTTTTTACTTTTCATTTTTAGACAGGGCCTTGCTGTTTCTGAGACTCCTTGAACTTGTGATCCTCCTGCCTTAGTCTTCTGGGTTGTTGGGATTACAGGCATGTAYCTCTGCACCTAGCATTTTGATTTTATTTTTGAAGATAGGGTCTTGCCAGTTTGCCTAGGCTGGCCTGGAACTTGCTATCCTCCTACCTCAGCTGCTCAGCTAGGTAGGATTATAGGTGTATAATGCTTTTATAATGAAAGAAATTCTGCTTTTATAATGAAAGAAACTAAGTTTTTCAACTTTCTCAAGTAGATGGGTGTGGGCGTGGCATATTTGTCATGGAGTATTTGTTGTGGTATATTTGTAGCTTCTAAACTTTTCTGAGTCAAAGCTGCCACTCTCTTTTGGAAAAAAAGTGTAGAAAAAATGTAGTTTAGTTGGGTTTCAGAGATAGTATTGGCTATTGTATTCTGTGAGTCTTAATATTAATGGCAAAACACAATGTGAACTCCAAATGTTGTTCACATAGCAGTTACTCTTGTAATGAGCTCTGTAGTATAGCAGGTTTTAATGTTTATTATACAGATAACAAGATGTGTGTCTGAATTGTTTTCACTTAGGATATTGAGTCTTTGATGTCTGAGGGAAACAAATCTCGGACAGTTGCTGCAACCAACATGAATGAGGAGAGTAGCCGATCCCATGCAGTCTTCAAAATCACCCTCACACATACTCTGTATGATGTGAAATCTGGGGTAAGTGTTCAGATGCATGGCCTTTTTTTTAGTTCTTTTAGGTTATCATCATTTACCTTTTCTCTTCAGATGTTAGATGAATTAAAGACCTAGCCAGACTTACTATCAACCAGGACTTCTTGTSTAAACAAGAAGCAGAAGCCTCTTCAGGTAGACACAAAGGGGTTTAGTGTAGAGAATTAGGTGACTGCAGAGTTGTTGGAATACCTGAGAAACATTGTATTGTAGGCGGAATCTCTAGGAATAATTCCATGAACCACTTGGATCTGGTCTGTTAGGATGGTGCCATCTTTGAGGATACCCTTTGAGCTTTGGGTTCAAGGCACATCCCACAGGGGTGACCAGGAAGCAGGAATAAGGAAATCGCTTCTGTCAAAGCAGCTGCTTCTTAGCATCCTAGAAGCTGAATGTGCTAGAAAGCCTTATGTTTCCATGATCCTATCTGCCATCAGAAAAAGCCAAAAGGGGCATTTTACTTCTGCTTTCCAGATCTTTAACAAGGAGATCTGATTGACAGAATTTGCACCACATTCTGAATCCTGGCTGTAAGGGAGTCTTAGAGATGGAGGCCTTAGCTCCCACGCTGTCCAGCTATGGGAAGGTGGAACCCATCCCACAGCCCTGTCACAGCAGTGTTAGAGCCCTTAGCTGCTGGCTGCCTGTGTGAGCAGATGTTAATGCTCCACTTCATCAGTAGAGGTTCTTCTGCAGTGTTACCTTCTGCCAAACGCCAGGGTCAGGATTCGCCTCCCTCGGGGAATGGCACTACAAAGCTGCTAGATTTTGTAGAGTATTTTTTGATTATGTAGTTTGGAACCTTGTGACGAGTAGACTGAGTCAGATATGTAAATGTTTCTGCCACATTAAGAACTTATCTGTAGACTCATATATTTTCTTTCTCTTTGTGTGAATTTTTACATATTTTATTGTGATGCCCGTTCCTCGGAGCATCACTTTCATTCATATACCAGAATCTAAAGTAATCACCCTGGCAAAGTGCTTTATTTTGGCAGGATTTTTATTTGCTGAAAGTGTATTTTTCTTTTCTTTGTTTCTTTTTTTTAAACCATCACAGCAAGATTAGTGTAGCAACAAAAAGTTCTTTGTTTCCGATTTCCTTTTCAGCATAAAACAAAAAACATACTGAAGACTTTTTTTTTTAAACTAAAAGTACTTTGATTTGGGAAGCTAAATATCCTTTTGTTAGCAATATATTTATTTTATGGAAATAAATATAAATGTATGTTAAAAGGAAAGTTTTTCAAATGATCCAGTCTGTAGACTTTTGGCACTGGTTTCTTACATTTCTTTTTTTCTTTTATTTTTGCTGCTGAATTATAAAATATCTGTTTTACATATGCAACTTGAGAAAGGAAAATATCACTATATAAAAAATATCTTTTTTTTTTGTACCCAGGGGGTCTTTACTACTGAGTCACAACCCAGCCCTTTTTCATATTTTATTTGAGACAGATCTTGCTAATTTGATGAGGGTTTTGCTAAGTTGTTGAGGCTGACCTCTRACTTGTGATCCTGCTGTCCCAGCCTCCCAATCACTGGGATTACAAACACGTGCATCTACACCCAGCTATTAAAAATATTTTAGGGGTTGGGGTTGTGGCTCAGTGGCAGAGCGCTTGCCTTGCACATATGAGGCACTGAGCTCATCCTTAGCACTACATAAAAATAAACAAAATAAAGATATTGTGTCCATCTATATCTACAAAATTTAAAAAAATATATTTTAAAATATCTTAACTATAAAAAATAAAAATGAAATTATATATGCATTAGATGAAATTTTGTTTTGAGGATTCTTCTGTTGGATAAGTCTGATTAATATTTTTTACATTAGTAAGAATGTATTTTGTCTAAAGATTTTGGTAAACATGAAGTTTTAAGCACAGTTGCGAATCATATTAAAATTTGCATCTTCTAAGTCTTTTGTATACTGCTCTGAAAATTTTATTGGACTCCTTTCAAAATCTCCCATTTGGGGGGGGCACTGTTTTTCTGAGATAATTACTCAGTTTATATGGATTAGTAGAGGTCTGTAAATTTTGTGTGCCTCCACTGCTGGATTGTACAGTTTTCTTACAGTGTTTTTAGAGGCACAAAATGATTTTGCAATAACAACAAATGACTTTAATAAAAGATTTAGATAATAAATCCAGTTGGTTGAGACAGCCTGGTTTCTGCCATTTTAACTGTTCCTTTGTATGTGTCATTTTACTTTGTAGACATCTGGGGAGAAAGTGGGCAAACTGAGCTTAGTTGATTTAGCTGGCAGCGAACGAGCAACGAAAACTGGAGCTGCTGGTGACCGGCTAAAGGAGGGCAGCAACATTAACAAGTAAGCCTTTCAGAAGCAACTTCCTATTGCTTTCCCGAATTACAGCCAAATGGGGGACATCGTGGTCCTTAAATGATTAGATGATTCTAGGACAATTAAGGTTTTTTTTCTGGTATTTTCAATGTCATGGGCTCATCTTATGTTCCATGGAGATGTCTGATGGGGCTGAGGAGTCCAGCCTCTGTCAGACAGCCCTAGTGGCATTTCTGGGTGACTCTCTGTCCTGAGGGTTGGGGGTCCTGGCCTCCAGGGTGTTTGGCAGCATCCTTGGTGTCTTTCCACTAGAGGGCAGTGTAGTTGTGATTACTCAGACTCTGGATATGGCTTGGTTTCCCTGTGGGGGCATAGTCACCATCTAGTTGAGAACCACTGATCTGAATTATAGAAGAGAACATGACARTTGGTCTCAGTCTGGTTGATTGTGACCCGTGTGCTACTGTCTGGACATCTGCCAGGGGCCCTAGCCACACTGGGCTTGCCCTYTTAAGACTGCTATCTAGTTCAAGCCAGGACTTTATGAAATCATGTTTTGTCAACAGTTCCTCCATACTCCCTCAGGCTCCTTGTGGTTGGGGAGTCTCTTTGTCCTTAGGACTCCCACAGGGACATACAGTGAATCATTAGTGACCAACTATAACTATAGTTATAATCCCAACTATAACTGGGATTATAAGGCACCGTCATCCAGAGGCTGGGCTGGTATTGAATCTTATAGGTTTAATTTTTGCCTTGTTCTGTGTGTTAATTACTATTTTGTGTTTATGACTTCTGTCTGTAAGATATGTAGTGTTTGTGTTCACCTTGACCTAATGTTTTACCACTCACATTTTTATCTATAAAAATGCAAAAAAGGGGAGGAGTTAAGCAAAAGGGACAGTGGYTCTTTAGAATTGCTGTGTTTTAAAACAGTAACAAAATGCTGACCACAGTGCTGCTCACATGCAGGTAGAGAGCATCTTGGTGTCTGATCTCTGGCTAAAGGTGACATTTGACAYACTCCATTTTTCCTAATTGTTCTGGTTGTTGCACCATGCAGGTCTCTTACAACTCTCGGTCTGGTCATCTCGGCTCTAGCAGATCAGAGTGCTGGCAAAAACAAAAATAAGTTTGTTCCATATCGGGACTCAGTTCTCACGTGGCTGCTCAAAGTAAGTGTTTTTCCCTCTCTTTCTTGGCAAATGTTTGATAGTTTATAAAAAGGAAAAGACTGTTAATCTCTTCCAGTGATCATTCCCTCCATCGGTGTTCAGATCTATAATTACTGAAGGGGTCTGGCAACTGTGATTTCCATGGGCTGAGTGAGCCCAGGTTTCTTCTAGTAATTGGCAGCCTCTTCCTCCGGAGTCTGCATGCCTGGGTTGTGGGGCTCACACTGAACCACACAGTTGTTCATGGAGATTTGGAGGTAGAAGAAGGGCCTGGTGCTGATGTGACAGTAGGAGTCACAGGAAAGGACACCCTCTGCTGGGCTGCCCCATCCTCTCCGACTCCTTTGATAGTTGTGACCTTGTTTTCTGTTTGGCTTCACTGATGATCGTTTAATGTGCTTTCACCTTCTTGGAGAAGTTGCTGAAGGGTACCGGGGAGAGCATGGCTGCTTGCTGGTGAATTCAGTTCAGCTGGAAAGAGGGACAGGGAGGAAGGGAGATCTGTATGAAGTGTGGGAGGAGGGTATGGACAGGGCAGTGGAGCCAATCGGCCCCCAGTGGCGCAGGTCTATAGGTAGGAAGGCAAGGTGCTCACACACAGTAGAGCATGAGTTTATGGGGGGCTCTGTGGCCGAAGTAGGTGACAGAGAGACTATTTCCAGATTCCCCAGAGCCTCAGGCTTCATAGAGATGCTGTGATAAAAGATATTGGGCTGGGTCTTAGAGGATGTAAATTCTAGGATGGTAGAATTACTAACAGGGGGTCAACCTTGAACAAAATCTTTCATCTAATACTTTTTATAATGAATAAATAAGTTTATATGCCTGGTTTAATTTTGTGGGGCTCATTTTCTCATTGGTGGGAGAAAACACTGTGTTTGAGAATATGTAGGGAGTGGAGCGCAGGCCAGGAGCTGGGGGAGATTTGGAGGTAGAAGAAGGGCCTGGTGCTGATGTGAGCAGCCTTGTTGAGGGAGGCAGAGTTTTCTCCTGGCCTCCACATGCTCCCAGAGTTTCTTCCTAGTGTTCATCTTTGCACCTGAAACTGTACACCACTTGGGATGTGCTTTGTTGCACCCTTTATATACATGTCCTGGGTTCTGCTTCTGTGTAATGCTGACAATGGAGGAATTTGACACAGAGTTGCTTCCTTTGGCCAAAAGGCAATATAATTAGAAATTTAAAACAAAAAGATAAATAGATGTTGACCATTAAAAACCACTTGGAAATGGGTATCACAGTCATTTTACTACCAGGAATGTGTAATTAACCCTGATAACCTCCTGGTCTTCCAGAAATCGTCTACATAGGACATTTATTCTTCCAACTTTCACAGAAGCATTCCTGATCACACATGACTATTCTCTGGATGTACCTGAATTAAAAGGCTTAAAAGAATTAAAGGAGTTGATWCATGCCTATAATCCCAGTGGCTCAGAGGCTGAGGCAGGAGGATGACGATTTCAAAGCCAGCCTCAGGAACTTATCGAGACCCTAAGCAATTTAGTGTGATCCTGTCTCATAAAAAATACAAAGGGGGCTGGGGATGTGGCTCAAGTGGTAGCGTGCTCGCCTGGCATGCGTGCAGCCCGGGTTCGATCCTCAGCACCACATACAAACAAAGATGTTGTGTCTGCCGAAAACTAAAAATAAATATTAAAATATTAAAAAAAAATACAAAGGGCTGGGGAGGTGGCTTAGTGGGGGTGGCCTAGTACTAAAAATAAATATATTTTTTTTCAATCTCTAGTACCAAAAATAAATATATAAGTAAGTAAGTAAAAGAATAGTTTTACTGTCCTTGTCATTTCAGTGTTACTGCTTCAGATTATTTAAAATGCTGACAGTAGTTAAAATGGCCTAGAAATAATTGAGTGTCCATTGCATAAGCTGGAGACCAGGGGAGCCTGTTTCAGGACAGTCAGGTGCTTTCCAGGGCATCTCAGTCACTTTTCATAGGTAAGGCAGTRTTCTATTTGCCAGAGGAGGAAGAGGGCACAGAACTCGCCAAAGACAGGCTTGGGCCTGGGGCCTGGGCTGAGTGCCCCATGCATCTGTGTTTGTGGAGGCTGTGTTCTAGTGGCAGGGTTCATCAGGAGGGGACTTGCTTGACTTCACCAATCTTTGGTAGGATATAATGAGAAAACTGTTCATAATACTTGAAGAACTTAGGTTGTAATTGCAGCTCTAATTCTTAGGTTGAGAAATAAATTGAATGTATACTTGACTTTGTCATTTTTTTCCCCGTTAAAAATCTGTAAGAGGGGCTGGGGTTGTGGCTCAGTGGCAGAGCTCTTCTCATATRTGAGACGCTCAGCACTACATAAAAATAAGTAAACAAAATAAAGATATTGTGTCTATCTATAATTAGAACAACAACAAAGAAACTCATAAGACCTTTTTTCTATCACTTCTGACTTTTGCACCAAGATCATAAGTAGGGGCATTTCTTAAGAAATAATACATCGGAATTTTTTTTTAAGAAATTCCGATGTATAATTCCAATGTATAATTATGATGCGCCAATAAAAGGGGGAAAATGTATTCCAGAACATAAATAGTTTCCCCAAGGCCTCTCCAGATCTGTGGATTCCCCAGATCCTTTTCCTTCTTTGATTCTTTTTCTAATTCTTCCTGATCCTCATTCAACACAGGTGAGAATCTCATGTTCCTAACATTGCTTCCAGTGAGCTCATAAAATTGCTGGTCTTTTATAAGATTTTCCATTTCTCTTTAGAGATCTTTTTTCATTGTGTTTGCGTAATAATTGTGCTGTGTTCTTGATGTTTGTAACCTTCTAAATGTGGATCTCTCATCACGTGTGGTGATGAATGCTTAGATAATGAATAGCTTTCGAATTAACCCCCTCTTATTCTTGCTGAGACTTCTCTGATGAAGCCTGCACCAGTGTCTTGCCTAGATGACAGACACTTCCCTTGAGATTTCTTGGTCCAATCCCTTCTCCATAGTACACTGCAACTTCTTTCTAAATTAATTACTTCATCTCTTCAGAAACTGCCCTTAGGCCTGTGGGATCAAGTCCAGATTCTTTCCTGAGTGTCACTTACAAGTCCCTGCTTAGCCTGCCGCCTCCTAACCCCTGACTGCTCGCCTGCTGTCTCCGGGAGTCATCACCCCTAGCCTAGTGCAGAGCTGGTGCTCTCTTACTTCTGGGGCTTCAGGCTCCCTCTGTGCAGAGTGGTCTTCCCCTTCTCTGCTCCTTCACCTGCAGGTCTCCAGTGTCGCCTTCCAGGCAGCCTCCTGACCTGTCAGGACTTGCCTTTCTGCCCAGCTGGGCTTCTGCCCTCTCCGACCACAGTTGTGGGCATCGGGCTTCAGTGCTCGCACAGCGCTGGCTCCACCAGGACCCCAGTGCTCCCAGCTAGCATCTGACCTGGAGAAGTTTGTCGGTCTTCCTGGCTCCCATTCTCATCTGGAAGACAAGTAATTTGATGACTTCAGAGTTCTTTCAGCTTTAAAAAATTATGACTTCCAAATTAAATCTCTTTCCAGTGTCCATTTAATTTGCAGTTGCAAAATTTGAAACAAAGCTTGTCTGATTTGCCTAATTGTGCAATTGAAGAGTAAACAAGAAACTTTATACTTTCTCCTTGAATGAGTGCCAGTTCTTTGGTTGCTATTTCCTTTTTCCTAATGGCATGAGGCCATTTTTAAATATAAGCATATTGTTCCACGATCAAGGGTTTTAAAATACCAAGCGWTTGTCGTTTGCCAGGTTTCCTTTTCTCACATACATCGAAGCACAATGCATGCACTTCTCTCCTTTGGTAGTTGCTGTTACAAATCTCCCACTTGGGTTTGCTGTTCGTGTGGGCCAGCAGCAGGCAGTAGTCTTTGAAGGGCTGCACAGTGCTACTGGTGTTGAACTGAATCGCAGAGTGACATTTTTATATCACATCTGAACCTGTCTAAGGCCTCATGGAACTCTTCGTGACAATTTTCTGGAAGTTGCCAAATCCGGGGCACCAACAATGTGAGATCAGTGACTAGAAGTGAAGAATGAAATAAGCAGTTATGACTTTCACTTCCTGAAGTCCAGATTGGTTCTGTTTCCTGCCTTTTCAAATATCAAAAGTGTATCTTCTTCAATATGATTTTATCTTTGTTTTCTTTGGAAAACCAAATTTGTCAGTAATGGATGAAGAAGCAAACACTAGGGCAAAATAATTTGGAGAAGTGTCAAGTCATCTGACTTAGTTCTCAGGTCTGAGCTTCCTCTGTATTACCAAGTATGTATCTGGAGCTGTGAAGGAGCGGAAATCCTATTGCAATTGATAGCAGAATATAACCGGGTTAGAGTATTGTTCAACTTACTGCTTCTGAATATTTCAGGCAGGGTATTTAACCTCCTTTATCAGAAAAAACCTCTGTCTTCTCGTTGATAAAATGGGATTACTAAGAGTTTCACAGAAGGCTAAGAAATAAGTTTATACACAGAGATTATGCTAATAAATTTTACATTTATTGAAGTTGGAAAACTTCATGTCTTCAAAAGTAAGAATTTTCTAGCTGGGCTAGTGGCAYATGCCTGTCATCTCGGTGGCTTGGGATGCCGAGGTAGGAGAATCACAAGTTCAAAGCCAGCCTTAGCAACTTAGCAAGGCCTTATTTCAAAATAAAAAATAAAAAGAGTGGGGATTTGGCTTAGTGGTTAAGCACCCCTAGGTTCAATCCCTGGTACCCTCCCAAAGTAAGACTTTAGGTTAGTACTACCCCAACACAGTTAGCTTTCTTGTGATCTGATGAATTCCCTATTACTATCCAGATGGAGTATTTTTTCTTAATTTTGAGACTCTATCATGCAGTGATTTTTTTTTCTTTTTTTCTCTTCAGTGCTAGGGGTTGAAACCAGGGCCTTGCTCATGTCAGGCAGATGCTATATCACTGAGCCACATCCCCAGCCTTCATTTAATGATATTCTGTTACTGAAAGAGGGTATTGAATCTCCCCCCCCTTCCTCCTTTCTTCCCTTTTCCCCTCCCTTCTTTGCAGCCTGGGGGTGTTAAGTTGCCTAGGCTGGTCTGGGATGGTAGGAGTGGTTACCTGTTGTGCTGGAACACATCAACCTGCCCCCAAACTTGAACAACAATTGTTTATCACCCTGCAGTTTCTATAGGTCAGGATTCTGGGAGCTCTAAACTGGTTCTGGCTGGGTCTCTCATGGCTGCAGTCCAGGTGTCAGCTGGGGCTATGGTCATCTGAAGGCCTGACCCCCGGGGTGGGGGTGGGGCTGGGGTCTGATCACTTACATGGTGCTTTACTGAGCTACATTCCTCATCCCTAGCCCCTTGAATCTTTATTTTATTTTATTTTTTTTTTTTAAATTTTGAGACAGGTTCTCACTAAGATGCCTAGTTTGGCCTAGAACTTGCCATCCTCCTGCAGCTCTCCTGGATTGCGGGCATTTGCCACACTGGCCTTATTCACTCTTTTCCCTCCCTGTAGGACAGCCTTGGGGGTAATAGCAAGACAGCCATGGTGGCTACGGTGAGCCCAGCCGCAGACAACTACGATGAAACCCTCTCAACATTGAGGTACGCGGATCGAGCCAAGCACATTGTCAATCACGCTGTAGTGAACGAAGATCCCAACGCTCGTATCATCCGGGACCTCCGGGAAGAAGTTGAGAAGCTCCGTGAACAGCTGACCAAGGCAGAGGTATGAGGCTCAGCTTGGCCGTGCTCAGCTTGGTCTAAGATGAGCTAGAACTTGAATTCCTCCCCTTGGCTGTAGGCAAGAATTACTCTTTTTTTTTTTTTTTTTTAAGAATTTTTGTGTTTCCTATGGGAAGAGAAATTTGAGCTGAGTAATAAATGAAGGAATTTTGTCATATTGGAAATTTTGAGAGATTTTTACAGGTGTTAACAAGAATTGGATAAAGAGATTTTTAAAAAATGAGAAAATGTTTCTTTTCATTTCTATTCAGGCAGCAGATGTCAGGAAAAACGTTAATAGGATAAAGGGGAGGAGGAGAGAGACAATGAGAAGAAAGTGTGTATAACTGGATTTTCATTTAGAAAATGAGAGTGGGCATGGACTAATTGGCAGAAAAATCAAACATGTGGTGATGTTTGGTTTCTCATTTGTTAAGATAGAAACCAGAATGGAGGTCTCATTCACCTTAATAATCCAGTTTTTCTATATTGTAGGTTGTGTCGTAGGAAAAAGAAAACTATGACTGMAGTAGCTGTGGTCTATTTCAGCTGTCTTCTGTGTATCCCACTCAAGTCTATCCTGTAACCAAGTGGTGCTCCTTTTGTAGGACAGCCTTGGGGGTAACAGCCTTGAGTGATGGTGTGTGGTGTCAGATTCAGGATTGCCCTGCAGCTAGCTTTTCTGCCCAGTCCCTTAGCTGTCTGGGATTCTTTTGGGAGCCGGCCCCATAGCCCTGTTCCCCATACCCTGTTTCACCTGTTTTCTGGTAGTAAGTTGAATGCATGGGCAGGATGGCTATTTTGACCATGTTTTTGCCTGTTGAATTTTAGCCTGTATTTACAGAAGTAATTTTATAGATTTAAAGGTCCTCTATTTTGGTCTTTTCTTCCTGGTATTAATAACAGCTTCCAGTTTTCAGCATGAACACATTTCGTCTGTGTGTTCTTGAATAAATTCCAGAAGTCAGAAGTAGAAACCAGACTGAATCTCTTGCATGAGTCTAGGTAAAAATCTTTTGGAACTTAGAATTAATAAGCCCTTCTTAACTAGCCTCATGTGTTTATCTCCTTAAGAGAGTGAGCTCTTCACAGTAGGTTGAGGAAGGGTCAGGTGAGTTTTCCTTGGATGACCTGTTGTGGTCTTCTTAGTGTGTAGGTGCTGGTGTCACTGGGGACCTGCTGGTTGGTGTGTTGTGGGTAGGTGGACAACGTGGCACTGTGCACTGGGGAGAGGCCGACAGTCACCTTTGTCCTTTTAGCTTTGGCTGATTCTTTTTCCGGGGCACTGTCCAGACAGTTTCATGAAGTGAACATTTTGCTTGTAGGCAATGAAATCTCCAGAGCTAAAAGACCGGCTAGAAGAATCGGAGAAGCTAATCCAGGAAATGACGGTGACCTGGGAGGAGAAATTGAGGAAAACCGAGGAGATTGCACAGGTTTGTTTCCCAACTGATCAGGAGAGCAAAGTTCTTGGCCACCTGCACAGTGGGGTTCAGGTGACGCTCCTGGTCCCCTTTTGAGTTTTTCCTTTGCTGTTGGCAAATCTAGCACCCGTGGAAATTCAGATCCATGAGCTGCACTTTACAAAATCAGTCTGAAGGATACAGAAGGTATAATTTCCAGTGATTTGCTATGGAAGGGATCGTTAATTTTTTAGTGCCAGTAATCTTAAAAAATATCAAAAACAAATAATTTGTAGCCTCTGATGTGAACACCTCATTCTGTTACGTGTTTGTAAAACTGAGGAACTTAGTAGTGAAATTACAATATCACTGGTATAGATATTAGGTTATGAACATCTCGCTTCCAAATGACAACTCAGTAAAAGTAACATAAAACAACGAAATGTGAGGCAACTTTTTCTCATTGCTAGAAAATAATAATGTAGAGTTGTGAGAGCATAGGGTGGGAACATGAACCTAGCCTAGGACGCTCTAGTAACTTTAGCATTGGGGGAAAATGTCTGAAAAATCTGTCTTTAGTGAAAGACCTCCTCGATAGTTCTTCTGTTTCCTGGTTATCCAGCCTGTTTCAGAAAGGTTCGTGTCCAAGTGAAATAGTGCTCCAGCACAGTGCTTAGGCAAGGGTTTTTTTTTCCTTCTTCTTTTTTTTTTTTTTTAATGAATTCACTGATGATTTGAGTGCTCAGTGTGTGTCCTGCACTGTGCTAAGTGGTAGGAACACAGCCGCATAGCCATGGTCTGTGTGAGGGGAGTGGTCAAGTAAACTGATGGTCACCTAGTGTGAGCAGATGCCAGTGTCTGCTCCACACAGAAGGCAGAGGTGTGAAACCCCTGGGTGGAAAGGCACAGACACACTTGATGACACTTTGAGGGGCCTGGAACCTGTTCCATGGAGTTGAGGGCAGGGTTTGAAAGTAGGTGTGACAAGATGTGCAATTGGAGAGCACATGGGCCAGGAGGAAGGGCCCCATGGACTTCATTGAAGAACTTTGGCCTGTGTCCTGAGGAGTCACTGAAAATGTCAAGGAGGAGAGGATATTGAAAACTTTGCTTTTAAGAAAGACCACAGCTGAGTAAAATACACTCACATTTGCTCACATATATAGAATTAAATGAGATGAAYTGAAGAAATTTGATATTTTTAAAGAAGAAAATTGAGCTGGGTGATGTTGCATATCTGCAACCCCAGCAACTCTGAAGGCTGAGGTAGGAGGAGTGCAAGTTTGAGGCTAGCTTGGGCAAATTAGACATATCTCAGTTGTTACAGTCCCGTCCCGTCTCCCCCATAGTAGGGATTGAATCCAGAGTACTTTACCACCTTTATATTTTGAGACAGGGTTTGACTGAATTGTAGAGGCTTGTCTCAAATTTGTCATACTCCTGCCTTAGCTTCCCAAGTAGGTGAGATTACAGGTACAGACCACCATCCCTGATGGGGATTTATTTTTTAAATAAATTAATTAACAAATTAAAATAGTTTTGAGCTGGGTGTGGTGATACATGCCTATTATCCCATCTATTGTTTGGAAGCTGAGACCAGAGGATCCCAAGTTTAAGGCTAGTCTTGGCAATTTACCAAGACCCTCAGCAACATAGTGAGACCCTGTCTCAAAATAAAAAGTGCTGGTTATGTGTCTCAGTGGATCCAAACCCCAGTACCATGAAACAGAGAAAGTTGTACATAGTTGAGAATAAAGAACAAAGAGCAGTAATCCGAATGCCATATTTGAAGAATAATATTTGAATTATAAAGGTAATGAATAGTTATTCAAATATTGTAGGGCCTTCCATATCTCACTGCCTTGGTGGCTGAGGAATAACACTTCTCTAATACTTTTACAGGAACGGCAGAAACAGCTGGAGAGCCTGGGAATCTCTCTGCAGTCTTCAGGAATCAAAGTTGGGGATGACAAGTGTTTCCTTGTTAATCTGAATGCTGATCCTGCTCTGAATGAACTCCTGGTGTATTATCTAAAGGTGAAGTAACATGCCCACACAGAGTACAGTAAAGTACTTCTTTAAACTTGGGGAGCCATGCTTTCTCAAAACAGTGGGCTGAGGATTTAGCTCAGTGCGGAGCACTTGCCTAGCTTGTGCAAGGCCCTGGGTTCCATCCCTAGCACCTCAAAACAGCAACAATAGCAGCAGAACGGTTAGAAAATTATTTTTATTTGAATAAGCTGAACAGTTTTGGGTTTTATGATCAGTTTCCCTTTTAATTGTTTGAGTGATGTCATCTGGCCTAGTCTCATAAAAAATGATATTCTAGTATTTCCAGCAAGTTAAATCACTAACCTACCATTATTTAGTATGATTTATAATAGAGAATAATGTTAAAGGACCACTTGATAGGAAATTTATATTTCCAGTAATTCTTAGGAAAATTAAAAAATTATGAATTATTAACCTGTTTTATTTTTTACTTATTTATTTTTCAGTTGGACACAATACCTTTATTTCGATTATTTATTTTTATGTGGTGCTGAGGATCAAGCCCAGGGCCGTGCACGTGCTAGGCAAGCTCTCTACTGCTGAGTCACAACCTCAGCCCCTAACCTGTTTTTTTTTTTAAAGAGTCAGTCACTTAGAAACTAAGAAAGTCAGAGAATGGAACAGAAAAAGACAAAATATTGGTACACATTGAAATTTGTAAATCATGGGATATATTAAGACAAGAGACAACTTGAATTGGATGTGATGGTGTACACATGTGATAATGTGTACATTAGCTATTTGGGAGCTTGAGGCAGGAGGATCTCAAGTTTGAGGGCAGCTTGGGCAATTTAGTGAGACCCTGTCTCCAAAAAAAAAAAAAAAGATGCAGCTTTGGTAAGAGCCTGAACCCCAGGGGATGTGGCTCAGTGGTAGTAAGTGCCTACCTAGAAAGAGCATCAACCTGAGACCACATAATGTGAGGAGTACTCCAAATAGTCTTTGTCAGGATCACAGCGAAAATTAATTATATCATGGACTGCATAATTCTAGGGTTAGTACATATATCTGGGATTAACTAGCACGACCAGGAAAATAAAGCAGACGAACTGATTAAGTTGGAAACAGCTTTAAGATTAGAAAATTGTGTGCTTGCCTTTCTAAAGACTCACATTGGCTAATTTCTCAGTTTTTATCAGAAGTATACTGTATGAATTGCTTTGTGCCATTTTGTTAAGGTCCCTTTGTTAATAAGTATCCTGTGCTGTGTTTGGCTATCTGGTGAGTCAACTTGGGTCTTTGACACACACCATAATGCTTGCATCTCTTAGGTATTATAGTCAGTGGGAGCAGTGCTGCAGGAAGAGGGAGGAGGCCTGGTTCTGCAGGTTCTTCCGTGCAGATAGATAGAAGCCATCTCTGGCAGGTTCATGTGGGGTTAGATATATAGACGCACTTTACAGATACTATACACTTTTATTTCATGTTCCAGTTTCTCATTTGATACTCTTGTTTTCCAGTACATGTGTAATAACCTTGCCTATTAAAAAATGATGTGGGCATGGTGGTGCATGCCTATAATCCTAGCTACTTGGGAGGCTGAGGCAGGAGAGTGGCAAGTTCAATACTAGCCTCAGCTACTTAGTGAGACTCTTTCAAAATCAAAGTGCTAGAGCTGGAGATGTGGCTCAATGGTAGAACACTTGCTTGGCATGTGTAAGGCCCTGGGTTTGACCCTCAGCACTGCATATAAAGAAAGAAATAGAAGATCCATTGAAAACAAACAAAATTTTAAAAATATTTTTTTTAAAGAGAGAGTGAGAGTGAGAGAGGAGAGAGAGAGAGAGAGAGAGAGAGAGAGAGAGAGAGAGAATTTTTAATATTTATTTTTTAGTTCTCGGCGGACACAACATCTTTGTTGGTATGTGGTGCTGAGGATCGAACCCGGGCCACACGCATGCCAGGCGAGCGCGCTACCGCTTGAGCCACATCCCCAGCCCTAAAAATATTTTTTAAATTTATTTTTTAGTAGTTGTACACAGTACCTTTATTTTATTTATTTATTTTTATGTGGTGCTTAGGATCGAACCCAGGGCCTCGCACGTGCAAGGCAAGTGCTCTACCACTGAGCCACAACCTCAGCCCCTTTAAAAATATTAAAAAAACAAAACAAAGTGCTGGGGATGTAGTTCAGTGGTAAAGTGTCCCTGGATTTGATTCCTAGAAGCAATAACAAATGATGTTCCCTTACCGTGCTTCTGAATGACGTTGGCAGCATTTTCAGTTGGAGCATCAGCCACAGATATCCATATGCTTTAGGGGAGATGCTGTGTTAGGGTGGGACTTACAATAGGCAGCCATTTTTGCTCCTCAGAACTAAGAATTCTTTTCCTTTCTGGTGTGATAAGAGTTAAAATTGGAACATGCAGATGCACATCCTAAGAAACCCCTGATTCATATCTGTTCTTTAACTAAAAGTTAAACAAAGAAATTGTTTGAAGAGAGGTTTGTGGGGAGGAGCTGGCATCTCTGATCGTCTGCACGGAGGTGTTCCACTGGGTTTCAGACTGTGGTCAGCTGTTTGGGCGGTCAGAGGCAGCGATACTGTGTTGGCTGCCAAGCCAGCCCCAAGACAAGACATACTCATGACAAAGCACATTCAAAAGGGTAACTCAGCCAAGAACAGTTTTCACTGTAGGAAAGTGACACCGCAATGTGGGCTGGAGGAATTTGGAAACTGAGTGTTTTTTCTTTCTTTGCCTTTAATTTCTCAGCCTGTTCCAGTGCTAGGCCTTTGACTTCAGAGGAGATGACTTTAGCCACCCAGCTATAAGTGGAGGTGCTGGATTACAACATCTCAAGTTCTTCCTAACTCTGGGATTTGGTGGTCTCAGTCTTCTCAGCACAGCCTCACCAGTGTGCTCTGCACATGGAGTCACATACAYTCTCCTGCTCCCCCAGACTTCGTCTCCTCTTGCTCCCCAGCACCCCCAGATGTAGGAGCTCCTCAGGAGCCTCCTGGCGCCTCCTCTTCCTCATTAGTTTTTGCTGCATTGCAAAATATGAGGCACAATATGAGGGGCTTATAGACTTAGTAAACGTCAAACAGTGTGGCTTTGGCAGAATTGAGCTTTTTGAATTCAGTATTTGAGATTCCAGGATATCATCAGCTACATCACAAGAGATTTTTAACCTCACATGAGACATCTAAGTTGTCATTCCTAATGTAAGGTCTGTAATTAGGAGTTTATCTATTTTTTATATGCCTAAGTGGTTCAGTGCCCAGCTCATGTTGGGTGCTCAGTATAATTGTTGATAAAAGGAAATTTTTCTTCTGGAACTTGGATTAGACCTTTGCCTGTTGGAGTTCATGTCTTCTGCTCCTGTTAATACACACTTTTTGTTTGGCACCCAGTGCATGTTGTGTACGATGCTGGTTGTACTGGTGCACAAGTCCTCCATAGGTTGTTCTCCAAATAAGGGGAAGTAGCAAGTCTCAGTACCTGCTGAGTCTTAGGTGCAATCAGGGTTTGGTAAAAGGGAAACCCTTCAGTGGAAGAAGAGGGAGARGTAGGTGTGGGAGATGCTCTGTATGGAGAGGGAGGGAGGAGTGTTGCAGGCAGAGCAGCAGAGCCAGAGTAGGGGTGGGAGGAACCTGGGAGTGGAGTTTTGGTTCCACCTGTCTAGTGGCCATCACGAGGCTTTCTCCATTCCCACCCCACTCCTGAGGACAGAAAGGACTTCTAGGGCACAGCTAGGATTCGGCACGAGGCTCATTCATGGGAGGGGAGGGAATCTATGTAGAACTGGCTCAGGGATGTTTCTTCCTTCTGTGGGTGGTCTTGGATGCTTCTTGCTGGCCCCTGCTTTTCCTTTAACATCACCTTGCTGGTGGTGATGACAGTCATGGGGCACGCAGGGCAGGGAGGGAGGCAGTGCAGTCCATTCTTCAGCCTGCCTTGGAGAGTCCTTGCAGTTGTGGGACTGGCCTGGAAGCCCCAGCTGATGTGAGGAGGGAGAGGTGCTGGGATGTCCTCTGCGCTCCCTGGGCACCATAGGTAGCTGGGAAAATCCTGCAGAGGAAGAGGCATTTTGTGAGGCTAAAGTCCCAAAAGAGGGGGAGCAGGGTGTTTACGTTGAAGGGTGACCTGCCAGAGGAGGACAGGATCGCTGCCTTTGGACCTGAGGAATGGGGGGTGTTCATTTGTTTTCCGTGTTTGTGTAATGTCTAACTGTGCCAGGCCTGCGTTAAGTGTGTGGAATACCATGGGGAGCAGGAGGCTGGTCTCTGCCCCAGGGAGTCTGAGACTAGGGTGTGGTGGTGGAGGTGAGGTCAAATCTAAGGATTTCCCGATTGACGCAGGTGGGCTGGTAAGGGAAAGAGGGAGGACTTGGGTAGTGTCTGAGCTTTTTGGTTGATGGTCTGGGTGTTGGTAGTGCCATTAGTATTGGGGAGGGGAATGGACTTTCCTTGGGTCAGGAGGAGGGGAGCAAGTTCTTTGGCTCTGCTGACTTTTCAGTGTCTTCAGACATTCCAGTTGCGTCTAGTAGGCTAAGTAGGCAAATGCTGATGGTGGAGGTGGGAGAAGGTGGACCTGAAGTCTGTGTTCTGGTTGGTGATAGAGACTTAGCTTACACTTGGCAGTATTTAAAGCCATGGGTGGGGATGGGTTCCTGAGTCACCAGTCAACTGACCGCTTCCCACAGGTCACATCTAATGCCCTTTCTGGTTTTGTATGGCTCAAGAACTAAGAATAGTCTTTACCTTTTTAAATGGTTGAACAGTAATATTTTGGACATGTGAAAGTTTTGTGAAAGGGACTGGTGCTGTGGCTCAGCTGTAGCGCACTTGCCTGGCATGTGTGAGGCACTGGATTCGCTTCTCAGCACTGCCTATAAATAAATAAAGGTCTATCAACAACTAAAAAATACRTATATATTAAAAAAGAAAACGTTAAACTATAAAAAAATGAAAGTTATGTGAAATTCAAAATTCAGTGTTCTTAAGTGACATTTTATTGGGACACCTTCCCATGTATTTATTTCTGTTTTGTTTGATTCTGCATGACAAGGGCAGAGTTGAGTGGTGGCATGCGTCCCAGAAAGCCTCAGACATTTCATATCTGACCCCTGGTCCAGGTGTGTAGACAGGGGCCTGGGAACACAGCCCAGTTCCCATCAAACCTTAATCACATACAAGCAGTCAACAGTTGTGATAAGAAGAGGCTCAGTTTTTAGAGGCCATTTTTCTCCATTCAGATTAGGTAAGTCACCTTCCAAAAAGTGGGGGTAGACATGAGTCATTGGGGCCCAAGGTAAGAACTTATCTGTAAAATCTTGTTTATGAGGTTTGAGGAGACCATGAAATTCATAGAATAATTTTAGTCTTTTTGTACTCTCATATTTGAATAGCTTTTGTCTTTGTAGTTGGTTTATTTTGATTAAGACCAGGCAAGTGATATCTAGCTTAAGGAACTGTGGTTTCTACACATGGTTTTGCTCTTTKCGGGGGAGCATGGGCAGGGATTGAACCTGTGTCACTTAACCACTGAGCCACACACCCAGCCCTTTTCATTTTGTATTTTGAGACAGGGTCTCACTAAGTTGCTTAGGGTCTCGATAAGTTACTGAGGCTGGCTTTGAACTTGRCTCCTCCTGCATCAGCCTCCCAGGCTATTGGGATCATAGGCRTACACACCGTGCCTGGCCTCCACACCATGCTTTTGGTACATCTGTGACACATGGCTTATGATCTGAGAGTATTAGAGTTCAGACTGTGATGAAAAATATGAATATAGTAGGAATATGGATATAAAGTTATAGTTTTAGTTGTAGATGGACACAATGCCTTTATTGATTTTTATGTGGTGCTGAGGATAGAACCCAATGCCTCACACGTGCTAGGCAAGAGCTTTATCACTGAGCTACAACTCTAGCCCTAAAGTTATAATTTTAAGTTTAAAAGGTATTACTCAGCTGAATGTGTYATTTCTTATAAAGAAACTTGCAAAAAGAATTTTACTGAGCAGCTACGGAGGCTGAGGCAGGAGGATTTCAGTGAGACCAACTCAGTGAGACCCTGTCTCTAAATGTAATATAAATAGGGCAGGGTAGGTGGCTTAGTGGCTGAGTGCTGGGGTTCAACCCCTGGTACCAAAAAAAAAAAAAAAAAAAAATTCAGAGAGCTAGGCATGGTAGCATATGCCTGTAATCGCAGCTACTCAGGAGGCTGAGCAGGAGGATCATGAGTTCAAAGCTAGCCTCAGCAACAAAGCAATACCCTAAGCAACTCAGTGAGAYCTGTCTCTAAATAAAATATAAAAAAGGGTTGGGGATGTGGCTCAGTAGTTGAGTAGGTTCAATCCCTGTTACCCTTCCTCACACACACAAAAAAAGGAATTTCAGAGTAAATTTCTACTCTATTTGCTTTGAAAATCTTATTATCTAAGGTAATGGATCAAAGAGGACTTCAATGCAGGTGATTTTAGTTTATGTACATGCAAGAATACAGTATTGATGAGTAAATTTTGATTTTTTTTAGGAACATACATTGATAGGGTCAGCAGATTCCCAGGACATCCAGCTGTGTGGAATGGGGATTCTTCCTGARCACTGCATCATAGACATCACGTCAGAAGGCCAGGTTGTGCTCACTCCTCACAAGAACACTAGGTAACGTACTCGAATGAGTGTTAACATCACAGTGATTTTTAAAGGGAAGAATATATACTAGTGGTGGGAAGTAAGGGACATTTGTCATTAATTTGCCAAATGACATTTAGAACTTTGAAAAATTGTGCATAATAATGTATTATACTTAGTACCAGTAAGCATTTTATATAATCCAGTGAAGTAAATGCAAATACTAAGATTCACCAAGGACAGGTTTTATTTTGGGGAATTAATCATTTTGTTTTCCCTAGTAACTAGGCTGCTGTAGTACTAGAAAACGAAGCAGAGGATGGGGWAATCATTACTCATGGTTGACCTTTTCCCCACACAGAACATTTGTAAACGGGTCCTCTGTCTCCAGTCCAATACAGCTGCACCATGGAGACAGGATATTATGGGGGAACAATCATTTCTTCAGGTATGACATTGCTCATGGCCCTTCAAGGGGTAGGTTACTGAAGATGATGCTCTGGAGTAGAAGCATACATATTGGAAAGTCAACTTTAATTTATAAAAATCATATGTATAATCTTGTGTATGCAGGTATATGTATATGTGTAAATACAGTATATGTATGTTTTATGTGTTTGTTCACTGCATAAGTGTCTGAACTCTAGGATATATGGTGTACACTCAGGAAAAATACTGAGTTTACTTATATATATTTTTCCTTTTATTTCCCATTGAAAGATGATTGTTCTGCCATCTGGTATAAGAATTCATTGTTTTTCTGACATGTTTATCTTTGTGTGTGTATTCACACAGATGTGGTTTTGTATGTATAAAAGATACATGTGATTTTTTTTTTTCTGAAAACTTGTGGTGGTGGCCTTATCCATAGCATCAGGATGGCATTCCCTTGGGAGAGCTTTTAGCTGTTGGTAACAGCACACTTGACAGTCACTGCTTAAACAGATGATTTATTTCTCTGTTAGAACAAGAAATCTGAAGGGAGATGGTCGTTAGTGTTGGGCAAGCCTCTCAGAAGTGCCCTGCTGAAGCCCACCCTTGGGTTGGCGCTTTCCTGCCCTCTAAAGATGCCTGTGCCCTGCAGCCTTGAGAGCAGCTCGCTTGYTCCAGGAGGAAGGGAGGGTGAAGGGGACCTCGCGAGCCCCAGTAGTCCTCTGGTCAGACCCTGGCAATCCTCCACTGTGTCCCCTTTGCTGGAATTTGCTGGGTGCTGGAGGGCAGCGAGAGGAAAGGCCTTCCTGGGCCTGCACACAGTTTCCCAGACAAGCGTGGCGTCGTGTCGGCCAGGACAGACAGGCTGGGTGGTGTGTGCATTAACTTCTGGGTCTCCCCTCGTCCTGCCCCTGGTCAGCGACGTTTCATACGGCTAGTAGAGGCCCTTGCTTGGAGGCCTGTTAGTATTTTGATGTTTGAGGAAAGAGTAGATGGATACAAATGTTGTAGAAAAAAATTTTCATGTTTTTCCTTCCCAAATTAAAGCAAGTATAAATTGCTTGGCTTAGTCTTCCATACCCTTCCTGGTCTGGGCTAGGTTGGTCTTCCCAGCGCTCTCTCTCACCTGTGCTTCGTGGAGGTTGTGTGTCCTGTGGTGGCTCACGCATTCTCAGAGCCTGCCATCACCTGGCTCACACCTTCCCACACTGCCCTCGCCCTGCTTTCTGCTTCTCCTCTGGGGTGTGGCGGACGATCTCCTGCTCCATCCTTCCTTCCTTGACTACTCTGCTCTGAAGGGGGTCTGGCTTTTCTTCTCCACCTGGCTGGTAACAGTCGTGTGCCCATGTCACACTCTCTGTTATAATTATTTGCACACACAGAATGGAAAGCTCCTGAATACAGCAGTTTCCTTGTATTTACATGGCATTCCTTTGGCATCTGGCAGATGCCAGTTTTAAGGAATAGAATGACTAAATGCTTATCTTTTGTTTTCTTTCTTTCTTTGTAGTTCTAGATGGTCAGAATTCCTTTATTTTATTTGTTTATTTTTTTATGTGGTGCTGAGGATCAAACCCAGTGCCTCACGCTTGCTAGGCAAGTGCTCTGCCACTGAGCTGCAGCCCCAGTCCATAAATGCCTATCTTGACTTTAAAAATGATATTCTTTTTTTTTTAACCCCAAGACTCAGTTTGCCTAAAAAGAAAAAGAAAGCAGAACGAGAGGAAGAGGAGCAGGACGCCTCCCTGCGGAACGATAACAGTTCTGAGCAGCTGGACGTGGATGGGGACTCCTCTAGTGAGGTGTCCAGTGAGATCAGCTTCAATTTTGAGTATGCACAGATGGAGGTGACCATGAAGGCCCTGGGCAGTAATGGTGAGTGGTCTGCCTGTCTTCTGGAATCTTCCAGGGTTGACAGGCTTAAAAGTATTTACAGTTCAGGTCTTTTCATGTTTTGCAGAAGGGAAAATCTGTGTTACTGGTCTCTGAACTCTACTCTCGTGTGCCTTTGACTATAACAACTTACTGTATCTATAAAACCCCCAGTGCTATCTTGATATGCCGTCAAATTCCTGCACACTTTGTTCTCATTGGTGAAAATTCTCAGGTGTAAGGCTACTGTTGTCATGTTTCTAGAGCACTCACTGTGTCGTGGGTGACGATAGGGCACACAGGAGACTTGCTTCTGTTACACAGAGCATGGTATGGGATAGGAGAGGACAACAGGAACTGGAAGTACAGAAAGCTGAGTTTATTCCAAATTGTCTTTAGGGATATTCGGTGGTACTGGTTTGACCAACAACAGTATAACACAGTGGGATGACATTTGAAGTGCATTGTCCTTTTGTTCATCCTTTTTTTTTTTTTTAACAAAAACATGTTTAGATCCAATGCAGTCGATATTGAACAGCCTAGAACAGCAGCATGAAGAAGAGAAACGCTCCGCACTAGAACGGCAGAGGCTCATGTATGAACAGGAGCTGGAGCAGCTCCGGAGAAGGCTGTCCCCCGAGAAGCAGAGCTATCGTACAGGAGACCGGCTGTCTTTCCACTCGCCCAGCGCCCAGCAGCGCCTGAGGCAGTGGGCGGAGGAGAGGTAGGCCCTGGCTTCAGTAAACTCGTCACACTGCAAGAGAGTRTGCGTCACAGCCAAGAACCACTTCACATTATTTTTCATTTTTGGAAAACATGGAAATCTCCAATTTGTATTTCTTTCTTTAAAACTGCCCTTGTTGGGCTGGGGCTATGGCTCAGTGGTAGCRCACTTGCCTGGCATGTATGAGGCACTGGGTTCGATCCTCAGCACCACGTAAAATAAATAAAGGACTATTAACAACTAAAACACAAACAAACAAACAAAAAACCCCTGCCCTTGTTAGGTGCTGTCTGGTTTTCAGTTTGTACGGCTTTTGGATTTGAATAAAAAAGTATACTTTATCATTGTATCATGCTTTAGGTTCTGAAGCTTGGGTAGGTGTTTTTTAAAAAAAGGAAAAAAAGAAAATTGTCTGGACTGATGAGCTCAGGTAGGTGAAGCATGGTGCCACTGAGGTGCAGATTGCAGTTTGACCTCTGTGCAGCTAACTAGCATCTCACTGAAATGCCCTACTCGTGGCTGCATCGGACATCACTAACCTGCTCATCCAAGTCTGGTCTTTGGGCCTGCAGCATCCCTATCAGCTGAGAGTGATAGAAATGCAGACCCTCCTGCCCCACTAAGGCCTGCTGGGTAGAAATCGAGTCACTCTTGAGTTTCTCAAGATCCCTGGATGATTCCTGTCCACAGTTGTGAAGCRCTGCCCTTTTCTGTGGTCAGCTTACTGCACAGGTGTGCCAGGTGCTGGCAGTGCAGCCCAGACAAAAGTGCGTGCATGGGAGTGTCAGCAGTAGAGTCCTTGTGTGCAGGACTGTCATAAAGCTCGGCTTGCACTGGGCATCAGCATACTCCGATGTTCTGAGGTCTGCTTTGGGTATTTGTTAGCTCCTGCTCACCTCGGCCTTTCCTCTTTGTTTCTCCTAAAGAGAAGCAACGTTGAACAACAGCCTGATGAGACTGAGGGAGCAGATCGTTAAGGCCAATCTGTTGGTGAGAGAAGCTAGTTACATTGCAGAGGAGCTGGATAAAAGAACCGAATACAAAGTGACCCTGCAGATTCCTGCCTCCAGCCTGGATGCCAACAGGAAGGTGAGGCCCTTCCTCAGCAAAGACAGATGTCGTCGTGTGAGTTGCTGGGCTCGGCGCTGTGCAGGGCGCTGGTGGCTTTGTGCCCCGCTGCTTTCCAGACCCACCCACGGAGGTCCTTCGGTTCTTCTCCATTGAGTAGAATTCACTTCGTTTTGCCTTTGTGTGCATGCGTGCATGTGCACACATTCACACACATGTGTATACGTATGGATGTGTGTGTGTATGTGCATATATACACACGCATTTACATTAAAAAATATGTACATGTGTACGTATATTTATCCATTAGGAGTATACTCTCTACCTCCTCACAGTATATTTCACTCCCTTATTTCAAATATATGTACACATATTTATTTATTCAAACATGTGTCAAATATTTTATTTAACTCATTAATTCAGGAATGTAACTTCTTATCTGTTCCTCCATGTGTAAAGTAGGATTATGAGATACATTTACATATAGACCCAAGGAAAGTCAGGATTCACAGAGCCGTTGTCAGCTGTATCTTGTGAGATAACATGCATTTCTTTGGACAGCAATCAATCATTTACAGCAATCAATCACTATATGTTTTCAATAACTTCCTAAATTGTAAATGGCTTAAGATACAGACAAGTAKGATATGCTAGATGCTAGATAAGACACTCAGCGATCTTTTCTTTTTGGCAGGGGGGAGTCCATCTCAAAGTTGTTCACATTTTTTTCTTAGCAATGTGGTCATGTTTTTWAAATATGAACATGTTTTATTTATGCTGAGCGTTGAAGACAGGAGTATTAACAGAAGGAAAAATACACCTGTATTGACCCTATAACTAACTCTTAAATGAGAAAAGTGTCTTATTTTTAATTTTGAAGATGAGTAATTCTCCTTTTTTTTGTACTAGGGATTGATCTTAGGGGTGCTGTACCATTGAGCTACAGTCCCAGTCCTTTTTTATTTCTTATTTTTAAATTTGTTCCAATTAATTATATATAACAGTAGAATACACTTTGACACGTTGTACACAAATAGAGCACAGCTTTTCATTCCTCTGGCTGTACATGGCTCAGGGTCATTCCGCTAGTATAATCTTCATGTGTATAGGATAATAATGTTGGTCTCATTCTACTGTCCTCCTCATCCCCACAGCCCCTCTGCACAATCCAAAGCTCCTTCATTTTCCCCTACCTGCCTCCCCACTATGGATCAGCATCTGCTGTTCAGAGAAAACATTTGGCCTTTGGTTTTTGAGGATTGGCTTATTTCAGTTAGCATGATATTCTAGTTCCATCTATATACCTGCAAATGTCATAATTTCATTTTTAAGGCTGAGTAATATTCCATTGTGTATATGAACCACATTTTCTTTATCCATTTCTCCACTGAAGGATATCTAGGTTGGTTCCATAGTTTAGCTATTGTGAATTGAACTGCTGTGAGCATTGATGTGGCTGCGTCGCTGTAGTATGTTGATTTTAAATAAACCGAGGAGTGGGATAGCTGAATCAAATGGTCAAATATATTTAAATTATTTCTGAGAACTCTATTATTATCAGTCCTCCCACAGTACCTTTTTCCTTTATTACCACTCCATGGCCCTTCCCAAGTCAGGTATTCACTTTATGTATATCATGTTGTCTTTATTTGCTAATAGATTGTTCTATAAAACCATTCATTAGTTGTTTCCTATATATATTTAAGACAACAAATCTCTTTTTTGAGTAATATAATGAGTTTAATAGTATTTTGTGGGAGAGTCCTACTCAAATACCCTATTCTGACCTATAGTCATTGTCATCCTCACCCCCCCCACCCCATGCTCCTCCTCCTGAACCTTCTCTAGCTCTGATTGTGTGTGTGTGCATCTTAACGGATTAGAAGGACTTTTCTCTTCATACGTACTTCTGCTGAGTCTGCGTGGTCTCTTTCTCCTGCACTACCTAACACACGTCTCCATCAGTTTGTTTCCATGTTCTGTGGGAATTTGACAGCAGGGATAGCTGCTGTTTCCCAATGATCTCTCAGAATCGAGCTCACCATTTTGCACAGTCAATATTTAGCAAATATGACTCAATCCTTTGAGTAATAAAGGTACCGCAAACCTGATCATTACTGTGTAGATCCTTGTCTCTTGATGGATACTCGGTGTGCAGTTGGAAAGATTTTACCCAAACTTCATTCTGCTTCTTAGTTATAGGGCAAAATCTGAGTGCAGTGGGACTCAAAGACATAGTCAAAAGAGGAGGCCAATCATGGGCAGAAGTTATAGGGCTTAACTTTTTCTAGAAGATGGAGCAGTATAAAATCTTCTCTCACCCTGTGGTATCTGAGAACTGAACATTTTACCCGTAAGCACAATGATAGCGCTTTTCTCTGTATCCTATTTTTGAGCTTTATTTGGAAGGAGCTCTACTGCTTTGGGGCAGCCAAGTCAGCCCCTCGTGCCTCATGTCCCCTCGGGTCTCTCTCCTCCCATCCACCCGTGTGCTCCCTGGGGCTGTGCATTGCAGACGGAGGTGCGGTAGCAGCTATTTGTTCATGATGTAGGTAGATTCCTGGACGTTTAGTCCCAGGCCCAGCATTCTGCCCCTGGAAAGTCAGTAGCCACAGATCACTAATGGGATTTTTGTTTTTTTCACTAGCTGGCTGAAGATGAGGTGGAAGGGCCTAAAGCACACGGATTTTCAATTTTAAGAATTATTAGATCTCCAGCTGTGTTTTGAATTCAGTGGCAAAATGCTTGTCTAGCATGCACCCAGCCCTGAATTTGATCCTCAGCACTGCCAAAAAGAAGAATTATCAAATCTTTATTTCATTATGCAAATTTTATTTCTTTGGAAATGATCATATGCAAGATGTTAATGAAACATTATTGTATTTCATGGTTCACTTAAGTTCTAAGTAGACATATAGGAGTAGTTAATAAATTAAGCCAGTACATTTAAATTGATAGATGATGGATAAATACATCGTTTGGGGGAGATGTAGAAGGATGTTTTTATTTTCTACTTTGTGGTTTAAAAATGTCCTAAAAGTTTTTCTACATTAAAAACACATTCCTGTGGCTGGGATTGTGGCTTAGTGACACAATGCTTGCCTAGCATGTGTGAAGCACTGGGTTCAAGTCTCAGCACTGCATATAAATAAATAAAATAAAAGTCCATCAACAACTAATAAAAATATTTTTTAAAAAAAACCTCATTGCATAGTTGTAGATGTGGCTCAGTGGTAGAGTGCCTGCCTGACCTGCTTGAGGCCCAAGGTTCAATCCCCAGCACCACAAATACAACAACCAAAAACTGCATCATTACCCAAGTTTGGTAGGTTGTGCCTGTAATCCCAGCTACTCAGGAAGCTGAGGCAGGAGAATCATAAGTTTGAGGCCAGCCTGGACAACTTCGTGAGACCCTGTCTCAAAATAAAAAGGTCTGGAATAATGAATCTCACTATTATGATAATTGTAATGTACTAATAAAAAAATTTGGAAGGAGAATGGCCTGGAGATATAATTCAATGGTTGAGCCCCTGCCTAGTATGTGTGAGGTACTGAGAAAAACACAGGTTGCTTTTATAAGCTGGAAATACTTCATCAAATACTATTTTTCTAGCAAAATTTGCATAACACAACATTGCTATTCTAAAGTAAATAATTCACAAGCATTTAGTACATTCACAGTGTTGTGCAACCACTAACTGTCTAGTTCTCTACTAATTTAATAATAAATTCAATCTGTATATTCGGAATCTAGTATCATTTATTGCTTCCAAATGGGACAATTTTCATAGTTTAATCTTTTAAGCAGTTTACAGTAACTTTTCTAAGAATTTACTGTTTTTAGCATTAAGATCCTACCCATTCAAAAAAAACTGAAAGTTACACTTCTGAAAGTATAAAGACACTTCTTTACCGTGCATCTCAGCAGACTTCCCTTTGCCCTCCTGTATGTGTGACTCTTTCTCCCCGTTGATGTTCTGTGGTCATACGAAGTCTGAATAAAAACATTCTGAATAAAATATTTTTAGTTGTAGATGGACACAATACCTTTATTTTATTTATTTGACTTTATGTGGTGCTGAAGATCAAACCCAGTGCCTCACACGTGCTAGTGTTAAGTGCTCTGCCACTGAGCCACAACCCCAGCCCCTGAACAAAGCATTCTTATTTCAGCTTTCCATTGAGCATAATAATCTAGGATTTGGGGTTTTCAATTTGAATTTATATCCCATTACAGTAGAAGTCTAAATGTAAAGTTATACCTAAACCTGTTCACACTGAAATTTTTAGTTTTGACTGTAGCTGGTTGGAAAGGCTTTGTAACCATCAGCTTGGTGTGATGACCTGGCCAGTGGGTGTGGGCACTCAGCGCTGGCCTTGTGGTGGCCTGGTGGCATTTCACACCCCCTCTGCTGTCTTTGCAGCGAGGCTCTCTCCTCAGTGAGCCTGCAATCCAAGTGAGACGAAGAGGAAAAGGAAAGCAGATTTGGTCTTTGGAAAAACTGGACAACAGGCTGCTGGATATGAGAGATCTTTATCAGGAGTGGAAAGAGTGTGACGAGGACACCCCGGTAAGCACCAAGGGAAGGGACCTGGCTGCAGTGGGCTGCCCATGGGGAAATCCTTTGTGTTCCCAAAATGGTTGTCCTGGTTCTACAGCAAAAGTTATTTTAATCCTTTACATTGTTTAGTTAATTAAGAATTTTAGAAACCTGTCCCTCAGGTGTCCCTTTCCTTCTCCTTGCTCTTCTCTGCATTTCTAACAGAGCTCCCACTTTGGATTCTGCCTTSTCTTGGAGGGGTGTGTCTATCCCCTTGCTGCTCTGGGGCTCTCCGTAGGTCAGAGACCAGGCCTTATCAGCTTCCTTCTGTTTCTCAATAAACTAAACCCTATGAAGTGTGTTTTTTTAAATTTAATTCAGCAGCACCTTAGTATTTACACTATTAGGAACSTTTTTTGAAGAAGCTTTGATTGTGACGTGGTTCTGTAAACCTCTGTACTGGTACTTGCTGCTTGATTTGCAGGTTCTCTCATTGAGTTCAGCCATGTACTTGTACGTGTATAAAATAGAATATATAGTAAAATAGAATAATGCATATAATGTATCTTCAATACTGCTGGTCCCGTTTCTACATATAGTTGTTGACTACCTTAACTTCATATTTTGTAAAAATGTTTATTTTTCAAAATTGATATTGTAAAACCGACTTTTTATAGTTAGATGACATTTTTGCTTCACATTTAAAAAAATCTTTTTTGTTCCTCTCCTATTTCAACTGAAAAGTAAAATAACAATATTAATACAAAAAAACTGCTCCCTYTGAGTGTCACTTCTTATTTGTAGCAGTGTGTCTAATGAGTTATAAGAGATGGGGTGACCCTATTCCATAACAGAAAAATGGAGAATATTAGTGCACTCCATTTCTTTTGTAGTCAGTATACTTTGTTTATTTATTTTTGCAGGAAGATTTCTATGTAAAGGAGAAGAAATGATAAAAGTAATGGCCTACTATTGGGATTATCCTTTGTGGGTGAAGGACACTGACCTCCATTCTAAGTGGGAATGAGGGAATGTGTGTATGAGAATAATACAGTGCTGTGCTTTGGGAAGAACTTACTTTGCAGTAAAGAATACTAGCGATAAAAGTTTACTTTAATGACTTAAATTAAGAGTGTATCAAAAATCAGTAGGTTGAATGCATTTATTATATGTGATTTTTGAGAAGTTTTGTGCTCCAATTCTCTTTTAGGTTATCCGATCGTACTTCAAGCGTGCTGACCCATTCTATGACGAGCAGGAAAATCACAGTCTCATTGGGGTGGCCAATGTCTTCCTGGAGTCCCTGTTCTATGATGTGAAGTTACAGTATGCTGTCCCGATCGTCAATCAGAAGGGAGAGGTTGGCTTGCTCATGCCTCGGTTTCTGCAAAGTACAGTGCAGGGAATAGTAGGGTGGCAGTGGGATCTTGCTGCTGCCTTTTTTAACATCAGTAATGACAAATGCTATGGATGTATGTGGTAAATACTTTGTTTCCACAGACTTTATGGTGGTTAGTCCAGATACTTTGAGAGCAGAACTAGTGTCAGAAAGGAGCCTTCCGCATTCTGATACCGTTGACCTGATAGCGTGGCTGATGCAGAGGAGAGGGCCTCTCAGGGATCTGGAAGCCAGTGTCTGCTTTGCCCCATTGCTCTAGGTGGCTGGTCGGCTGCATGTAGAGGTGATGCGAMTCAGTGGTGCCATTGGGGAGAGAATCGCAGGAGGTGACGACGCTACCGAGGGCTCCTTTGAGAAGGAGGCCCAGGAGAGCAGACTGGTGTGCATGGTAAGTCCCAGGTTTGTCTGGGAAGTAGTCTAAGCGGGACTGTTTTTGAGGATTGTGGGTATTTAGATGATGAATCTGTGTTCTTTTTTGGATTTTGAAAACATCTGTCACCAAGTAAACTTTGTAGTGTTGGGTGTTCTTGGGACACGGATCCTGAAGTATGGGTTCAGCATTTCTAGAGCTATGGACAAGTCACCTCTTTTCTCTGGGCCACTCAATTCCAAAATCATAGGAGTCTTTGTTTATCTGCACCTCTCTGCAGAGAAGCCCTTGTCTCCCACTGTTTGCTCCTCCTGTTGGGGCTTTTGCTTCTTGCTGAAAATAGGTGTTTACCCCAGCTCTGGTGTTGTCCCTGAGCTGCAGCCCTAGCCACCCTTTGCAGCCTCTCTGCACGACCTTTGCTCTTCCTCCCCACAGTGCCTTGGCCGTGCTGTGCTTGCACACCCCAGTTGCAGCCCTCTGCTGCCTGCTCTTCCCTGGTGTGCTGTTCATCACACTTTTGTTGGGTGTTACTGGTCAGGCCTCATGTCAGATCCCAGCAACATGAAGATGAGCTGGGAGAGGTTCCTGCTTTTCAGTAGCTAGGGCCTGCTCGGTCTTCTTGTTGGTGTACAGAAGACTCCAGTGTTGTGTGTGATCCAGGGGCTTCATAGAGTAGGCACCAGCGGTCCTGAGACACAGAGAGAGAAGGTGATTCAGACAGCAGGGTCTGGGGATGATTTCTGGGCAAATGGGACAGGCTAAACCTGAAGGAGTTGGGGTGTTGGGTTAAAATGTCTCCACAGGTGCTCTTGGTGTTTCTGAGTATAATGGCTAGGTAGAGGGTAGTTGGTCATTACAGTTGTCGGTTCCTGCCCGTTTAGATTGGGGAGAGCCACCTCCCCTACTCGTCATGGCATTGTGAATGTCCTTTCCCACATCTCAAAACACTCTCTAGTAGGCCAGCAATACCATTGGTTGAGAACCTTTGCAGGATCCAGTGAAAAAGGTTTCAGTGACAAGAAATCAGCACAGTGGCCTGTGCTGTTTACAAAGCAGCCCGTAGCTGGGAATGGCCATGCACACCTGGAATCCCAGAGACTAAGTGGGCTGAGACAGGAGGATCTCAGGTTCAAGGCTAGCCTCGGCAACTTAGCAYGATCCTGTTTCAAAATAATAAGTAAAAAAAGGATTGAGGTTATGCCTAAGTGTCCCTTTGCTATGCTGTGCTTGTACACTCTGGGGTCAGTCCCCAGGACTGAAAAAGGAAAAATGAAGAGAGGCCAGTAAAAGGTCAGGGAAAGAAGCTACACCTGACTCTTGTTTTTTTTTTTTTTTTTTTTTCTTGGTGGTGGTGCTGGGGATTGAACCCAGGGCTTTGTGTGTGTGAGGCAAGCACTCTAGCAAATGAGCTATATCCCCAGTCCTAGACCTGACTCTTAATTCATAACCCATCCTAGGTCTTCATTTCTTAGAATTTCAGGAGTAAGTTATATGTTTGCCTCAAGTAGGAGAAGCTAATGCTGTTACAGGGAGGGCCACTTTCTGCAGGTCGCAGCATGTGCTAAGCAGGTCTGCCGTGTTCCGTGGCTCCAACCACTTCAGAATAAGGGGGAAACACCGTTATCTGCTAGAAGGTTCATCTTTATTGCATTGATCTCAGAATCTGTCCCTTGAGGTATTGCGATTCTCAGGGGTGGAGACAAGCTTGATGACTCCGTGTGGCCCAGTCAAGCTGGTGGACTAGAAAGTACAACTCTGAAAGATGAGCTTTTACCACTGCAGTAAAACAACATTCCAGGAAATTTATCATCTTCACTGAAAAAAAGTAGTGCATCCAGTAACCTTTTTTTAATGATGGGGCTTTAAAAAATGCTGGTACAATACAATATATCTTAAGATTTTTTAAATGGAAGGAATTAAGCCCATAAAAGCAGTAGGAATAGTCTAGTTGACCCTCTTTATCACCAGCTGACAGCAGCTGCCCGAGGCCAGGCTCCTCTCATTCCTACCCCCAGCTGCTTCTGTGCTGCCCCCTGTAAGCACCCCATGTGTCCTGTTTTACCTGTGAGCAGTTTAGTGTGGCTCCCCAAAACAGTGAGTACTTACAACAAAAGTCGACGTAGCTTCATTATCCCAAATTCATAACTTGAGAGAGCTCGCTCTCTCTCTCTCTCTCTCTCTCTCTCTCTCTCTCTCTCACACACACACACACACACACACACACACTCACCCTGCAACTTGCTGTAGAGACCGGGTTGTTGCCCAGGAGTTTTTCACAGTCCGGCGTCCGATGACTATCACTGCTGAATGTGTCACACGTGTCAGGTGCAAGCTGGTGGCTGGAGGTGCAGGTGCTGTGTGGTAGGGAGGGAGGTCAAGGTTCTTTGTGGATGGGGCTATTGTTATGTCTGGTTGTTTCTCTTTGGGGGTGTTACAGACATGGATGGTCATCACCTAAATGCACTATTTTGTTAGAAGTTACRAAAGAGGGCTACTGTGAGTCTTTCGTTTTAATGGTTAGCTGAAGTGCTTCTATAGAGAGAGTGGTTCTGCCACCAGCTAGTTTGCCATTCCGAGGTGGAGCTTGTATAGAGAAGACAGGGTAAGTGTTCCATTCTCTCCCTTTATTTAACTGGTTTTCAGAATAATGAATTGATGCTTTACCAGTGAGATTTTCTCTCTCTTACTGTTATCATGGACTCTTGGACTTAAGCACACTTGGGTTTTGGTCCATTTCACTCATTACCTGCACTGAAGCTGTAAGGTCCCTGTCTTTGGCTGGTGGCAGTCACCTCAGCTGGCTGTGTTGGTGTGGCCCTGACCCTCGAAGACTTAGTGGCTTTCTGTATGATGGATGTTCTGTGCATCCCGTACGTCCCCTGTCCCAGTGTAGCCAGCAGAGAGCCTGCTCCCTGTCATAGGAGGTTCTTTTTAGAGCCCAGGTTCTAGYATGCAGTAGCCTTTTGTGTAGAGAGGTCAAGGACAAATACACTTCAACAGTAAAGGAAGTGAGGGAGGGAAAATGAGACCAGCCCCGGGACRGCTAAAATGTCATGGGAGCTGAGAGTCACTGGCCCAGGGAAGAAGTCTGAGCTTATTTTCCTTAATGAATAATGTACACACATTAACATTTCCAGTGATATTGAGTCCATTAAAAAACCCCAAACAACAGTGATGCTGGCTGATGTCATTTTGCCCCTCTGTCTTGGACAGCTGCAAGCTGAAGTCTGTGGTATTCTGACACCTTGTGGTGATTTTCATTTTTGTATGTAAAAACTTAAACCTAATAAAACCCCAGACAACCTATGTTCTAGATCCTGAGTCTCAGTCCTGAGAAGTTGCTTGCAGAGGATGGGTCAGTGTATGACATCTTATTTCTTATTCTTAAACTTAGATGAATTTCTATAGGGAAAACGTGGCTTTCAGACAGAATTCAGTCACAGAGAAGTATGTATTGAATACCTGGTCAGTTGCTTCCATTCGTTTCCTTTTCTTCATTGGCATGGTGTCACCCGGGACAGTAGGGTGGCCGTTAACATTCACATATTTCCCAGGTGAAAGCTGAGCCTAAGAAAACTAAATATTGTATTTTTTAATTAAAATTTTTTTTATTTGTTCATTTTAGTTATACACAACAGCAGACTGCATTCCAACATATCATACATACATGGAGTGTAACTTCCCATTCTTATGATTATACATTATTCGGAGTTACACTGGTCATATACTCATATGAGCATAGGAAAGTTATGTCCGATTTATTCTACTGTCTTTCCCATTCCCCTTTCCCTTCCCTTCCCCCTACACCCCCCACCCCACCTGTTGTGAGTCAGAATTTGCAAATCAGAGATAATATCTGCCCTTTGGAGTTTTGAGATGGGCTTATTTCACTTAGCATGATATTTTATTCCTCTTTATTTCTGAGTAATATTCCATTGTATATATGTACCATATTTTCTTTATCCATTCATCTGTTGAAGGACACCTAGATTGGTTCCACAATTTAACTATTGTGAATTGAGTTGCTATAAACATTGATGTGGATGTATCACTGTAGTATGCTGATTAAGTCCTTTGGGTATACACCAAGGAGTGGGATAACTGGGTCAAATGGTTGTTTCATTCCAAGATTTCTGAGGAATTTCCACACTGCTTTCCAGAGTGGTTACACCAATTTGCAGACCCACCAGCAAGGTATGAGTGTACCTTTCCCCCCATATCCTCACCAACATTTATTGCTACTTGTATTCTTGATACTTGCCATTCTGAGTGGAGTGAGATGGAATCTCAGTGTAGTCTTAATTTGCCTTTCTCTAATTGCTGTTGATATTGAACATTTTTTCATATATTTGTTGACTGATCATATTTCTTCTTCCGTGAAGTGTCTGTTCAGTTCCTTAGCCCATTTATTGATTTGGTTATTTATTTTTTTGGTGTTAAGTTTTTTGAGTTCTTTATATATCCTGGGGATTAATGCTCTGAGGCGCAGGTGGCAAAGATTTTCTCCCATTCTGTAGGCTCTCTCTTTATGGTCTTGATTGCTTCCTGCTGTGAAGAAGCTTCTTAGTTTGATATTATCCTGTTTGATTCTTTTTTTATGTTCCTTTAATATTTATAGTCCGTGTGTGTGTGTGTGTGTGTGTTGTAGATGGACACAATACTTTTATTTGTGATGCTGAGGCTTGAACCCAGTGCCTCACACATGCTAGGCAAGCGCTCTACCACTGAGCTACAGCCCCAGCCCCCATTCATTGATTCTTCATTTTACTTCTTGCACTTTAGGAGTCTTGTTGAGGAATTTGGTTCCGAAGCTGACAAGGTAGAGATTYGGGCCTRCTTTTTCTTCTAGTAGGTGCAGGGTTTCTGTTTTAATGCTATGTCCATGATCTACTTGGAGTTGAGTTTTGTGCAGGGTGAGAGATAGGAGTCTAATTTCACTGTGYTGCATATGCATTTCCAGTTTTCCTGGCACCATTTTTTGAAGAGGCCATCTTTTCCCCAGTGTATGGTGCCTTTGTCTAGTATGAGAAACTGAATTTATGTGGGTTTGTCTCTGTGTCTTCTCTTCTGTACCATTGGTCTTCATGTTTGTTTTGGTGCCAGTACCATTGTGAGAAAACTAAAAATTGAAGTAATTTGCACCCGAACACAAGCTAATAAGTGACAGATTTTGTTTAGATTTATGTAACCTCAAAATCTTGTGCCTCACTGTAAAGACTATTATGGTAAGAAAATGTTTTTATAAAAATTGGTGAAAACCTCTTTTTTTTTTAATTATAAAAAGTTACAGAACATTGATTGCTCAGGTGGTATGGAGAGATGAACTGTGCTGGCCAGTCTTCTGTAGCCTAGGAGGAAAACTGCTATCTTTCAGACTTATTAGCATCACTGGGAAAAATGAATTACTGTGGAGTTCCCACTTTTTGTGGTTTCCCCATCCTTACTAATGCTTCCCAAATGTGAAGGTTGTGTTTGTGGTTGCTGAACTTACATGAATTTATGCCATATATTCTACTTTATTTTCATTAAGTTTATTATTAGAGGTAGAGGGGATTSTACAACATGCAGGGCGTGATCGGGTGAAGAACAAAGTTTCTGATTATTACTCAATGGTGTGAAGACTGGCTCAGTCAGTTGTAAAGTCAGAACCTAATTTAACTTGCTGAGGCATGCGTTTCCACCCAACTTCGTCATCACAGAACTCTGCAGTCCTGTAGTCCAGCCTTAGCCCTGGCGCCTCTCCCCACTAAGTCTGTGTAGGGAAGGCATCTGGTCAGCATTGATACCGACAGCGCAAAATGTCGCCTTCTGCACTTCCCTCCGTTCYCCCCCAGAGGTTTAACGCCACATTCTCAGTGCCTCTAAAATTCTCCAAAAAATGATTTGGTAGCATGTAACCTTTCTACTTGAGAACCTTGTTATGCTTCATACTTCAAAATATCAAGACAGGTGTGGTAGTGCCCATATGTAATCTCAGCGGCTCAGGAGGTGGAGGCAGGAAGATCTGAACTTCAAAGCCAGCCTCAGCAGCTTGGCCAGGCCCTAAGCAACTTAGTGAGACCCTGTCTCAAAAAATAAAAGAGGACTGGGGCTTCAGCCTCAGTGGTAGAGCCCGAATGTTCAATTCCTAGTACCAAAAAAAAATTGTTTTGAATAAATATTTTGCCCTTCCTCGAACATTTATTGCTTGTTGGCACATATACTGATTTTTTAAAAATTCATTGTACCTGGCTCTTTTTTTTTTTTAGGACATATTCATAGTTTGCCAGATTCATATAACTGAATGTTGTTGATGTTCAAGAACTTTCTTCTTCTGAATTGATGACTGTTATATTCTTATGTTCTAAGAAACTGGAATTTAAATTATCCTCATCAGCCTCTAAATACTTCAGTATACCCACCTTTAACATCAAGTCCTTGTCACTCTATATCAGGCCTCTTACTAAATAGGACAGTTGTGGGCACCATTTCAGATGCAGAAATACTCCAGAGCGAATAGGATGTGGTCAGGACAGGAACCCATACCYCTAACTCAGAGTACCACCTGGAATCTTCTGGTTAAAACACCAACAGAGCCCTCTCTTCCTTTCAGGTGAAAATACTTCAAGCCACGGGGTTGCCACAGCACTTGGCCCACTTCGTGTTCTGCAAATACGACTTCTGGGATCAGCAGGAACCAGTGATAGTCGTGCCTGAGGTGGATACCTCCTCCTCCCCTGTCAGCAAGGAGCCTCAATGCATGGTTGTCTTTGATCACTGCAGCGTGAGTTGATTTTGTAGTCTACTCATGTGTAACCAAAAATCAAAAAATAATCCTTATTTCTTTGAATAATTTTGTCAATCTATGTCTTGGACCAGAATGTCTTACAATGGGGATGGAGTAAAGAATTAAAGTCAATGCATTTGACTTGTCCACAGTCAAGGGTAACTTGTACAGCCAGGCACAGTGGCGCACATCTGTAATTCCAGTGGCTTGGGATCATGAGTTCAAAGCCAGCCTCAACAACTTAGTGAGGCCCCAAGCAACTCAGCGAGACCCTGTCTCTAAATAAAATAGAAAAAAAGGCTGAGGATGTGGTTCAGTAGTTAAGTGGCCCTTGGTTCGATTACTGGTTTAAAAAAAGGGTAACTTGGGGCTGGGGATGTGGCTCAAGCGGTAGCGCGCTCGCCTGGCATGCACGGGGCGCTGGGTTCGATCCTCAGCACCACATACAAACAAAGATGTTGTGTCCTCCGAAAACTAAAAAATAAATATTAAAAATCTCTCTCTCTCTCTCTCTCTCAAAAAAAAAAAAAAAAGTGTGTGTGTGTGTGCATGCACGCCCGCGTGGACACTCATGCTCATCTTCTAAGGGAATCCGTGTTTTCTGTTACATTAGTGAAGAAAAGAAATCGGAAACAGTTAAGAAGCTAGTGAAAATTAAGGCAACAGACAAGAAATCACTTTGCTGGGTCTGAGGTTCTGCTGAGCCCTTTGCCATTCTTTCCTGTTGTCCTTGCCAGTTATATTTCATTGCTGCACTTCTTTTTTCAGCTGAAGGAACCGTTCACAGAAGTTACCTTGTCCACAGTAGTTATCATCGTGTTTCCTGGGGCTTGTGACCAGCAGAGCCTGCACTGGTCTATCAGTCTTTTTTGTTATTATACCACACTTGATCAACCTCATTTTTTTTTTGTTTGTTTGAGTGAGGTTTTTTTCCCCAGTGTGTTTAAATTCCATGACTTTCTTAATACAGCAAAATCCTTATTGCAAAATATTGTTCTGTAAAGGAGAAATGGTTGGGCTGGGTGTCCTGGTGTACTTCTGCAATCCCAGCCACCCAGCAGGCTGAGGCAGGAGGATCCCAAATTGGAGGCCAGTTGTAGCGATTTATCAAGACCCTGTTTTAAAATAAAAAATAAAAGAAGGTTGCGGATGTAGACCAGTGGTAGCAAGCACCCTTGCGTTTGATCCCCAGTACCCCCTTGCCACACATAAGGACAGGTTGTGAAAATTATTTTTTGTGCTAATAATCATTATTCTTTTATTGTATATAATGTCCAAGAAACTGGAAAAAGTAATTTTTGCAACATATAGTTACCTTATTGGATGTAGAAATTTATATCAAGATATTATAAATTATTATAATGCTTCATATAGTTAGTTATACATTTAAACAATAGATTTTGAAAATACAATGCAGTGCTGTTCTTACATACTAGACTTTCAAAGTGGAAGGTTTTAAAAAATCAAAGGTTGAATGTTTTCTCTGATATGTAGAGAAAAATACGATGGGGGTTATAAAAAAAAGAATAGAAGAAAAATCAGTGGAGTAGACAAAGGAGAATAAAGGGAAGAGGGGGAGTGGATAAGGAAGACAGTGGAATCAGTCTGACCTGACTTTCCTATGCACATATATGAATATACCATGGTGAATCTCACCATCATGTACATCCACAAGACACTAATTAAAAAAAAAATCTATAATAGCAGAAAGATCAGTAGAACAGAGGGAAGTGAATGAGGAGGGAGGAGGGGAGTGGGGAGGGGAAGGGGGAAGTCCCTGGGACTGAATAGAACAAATTATATTCCATGCCTTTATGTCAAAATAAATTCTATGTCATGTAGGTCTAAAAAGAAAAAAAGTGGAAGATTTTAAAAATTCATAGTTAACTTAAAGGCAAGAACCTTTGGCCACCTGGGCACTCCCAATGTGCTTATAAAATTCTTTGGCACCAGAATACTTAATTTTTTGTTATTGTTTTTGGTGGTGCTGGGGATCAAACCCAGGTGCTTTGACCCTCTGCTCAGTAACGGAAGTATTCTGTTTTCTGTTTCTTTCCTCCCTGATAAAACTTAAGTACATGATTCCTGGTATTAGTAATTGTAGGATTACCAGAAAATGTTTCTGTTTTGTAATTAGCTGTTATCTTTCAGGAGTTTTCTGTTAACATCACGGAAGACTTCATTGAGCATCTATCAGAAGGGGCCTTGGCAATTGAAATATATGGACATAAAATGAATGACCCCCGGAAAAACCCAGCCCTGTGGGATTTGGGAATCATCCAAGCAAAAACACGAAGTCTTCGGGACAGGTGAATTTTAAATATCCATCTAATTCTACTTATAATTTTACAACATTGCTGTAGGTTGATACTGCCATTTATAAAGCTCACTGTTTCCTGAGCATTACCAGGTACCAGGGCAGATGGTGTTGTGTCCAGGGTGCTTATGTCACAGCTAAACTTCCTAGGACAGTGAACTTGGAAGAATGATGCAAGAAAGCTAAGTATGTGGTTATTTAAGAAGAAATAGTGAAATTAATGTGGAGAATGGTCACTTATCACTGTGAATTATTTCTAATTATTGTCAGAGAAACAAATGGAGGTCTGCATCATTACATTTACTCTTTTTAGTTCTTGCTAGTGGCATCCGTGATGGAAGGAGAGAGCCTTATTGTTGACTTTAAAAGGAAGATTTAAAAGGGAGGGGCTGGGGCTGGGGCTGGGGCTCAGTGGTGAAGCTCTTGCCTCRCATGTGTGGGGCATGGGTTAGATTTTCAACACCATGAAAAAAGGCAACTAAGTGAAATGAAGGTATTGTGTCTCTCAACAACTAAATAAAATAAAGGGAATCACTGAAATAGAAGATGTTTTTACTTTCATTTAATTATAGACAGGAGCCAGATTTCCTCCCTCCCTCCCTCCCTCCCTTTCTTCCTTCCTTCCTTTAGAAAGTTTTAGCAAATACTTAATTAGAAGGTGAGTTTTTTTTTTTCCTTGACTCTTTTCAAGTCATGGGAGTGGAAAGTGCTACCTTTATTTGTTTATGGGAAGGTAGCTCTGTACTTGTTCTGCACATCTCACTAGAATGCTCTGATTTTTGAGTAGCCACTTTGAAAAGGATTTTATCATCATATCTTTCTGAGCAAAATAAAGGATCCATTTCTAGTCTTGATATCAAGTTAGTTTAACTTTGCTGTTCATTGTATTTGCTAGCATGTATTTGTATGTTTCTAATTCAACCATAGATCAGTTACCCGTTTGGTGGTCGTTTTAGTTTCTTAGTCTCATGTGTAGGATCCTAAGCTGCCTGTATTAGAAAAGAAATGTGACTTCCCAAGAACTGCACCTGTTTCCTAGGTGGAGCGAAGTCACCAGGAAATTGGAATTCTGGGTTCAGATCTTGGAACAGAATGAGAATGGTGAATACTGCCCTGTAGAAGTGATTCCCGCCAAGGATGTTCCAACGGGAGGAGTCTTCCAGCTCCGGCAGGTAACATATCACCAATGTGCTTACGAAAATTCTTTGGCACCRGAATACTTAATTTTTTGTTGTTGTTTTTGGTGGTGCTGGGGACCAAACCCAGAGCCTCATGCATGCTGTTCAAGCACTGTACCTCTGAGCTACATGTTGGATTCTTTTTAATAGAAAAGTTGATGCTGCTGCTGATATCTAGACTGGCCAAGTCCATCTTAAATTGAAATAATTTCCTACTTCATGTGCATTTTCTTTCCTTGTCATGAATCTTTCTACTTACAATATTTTGAAACCAGCTTCTGTTGTGTTATTAAAAAGATAAACTTGGAATTATAGGGCATRAAACAAACATCAGGCAGGATTGTCACATTCATGAAAACAAAGAGGAGAAGGACTGTGACATGGCCAAAAGAACATGTGTTCACGGGCCAACATGCTGGATTCAGTGCCATCTCTGCAGTATCCTTACTTCCTTGGCTGCCTTAGAAATTCCTTCCTGGAAGCAAGACTGGGTGATTTTTCTACCAATTAGTGTAGTTGCAGAGTTGAGTGTTGGTCATACTTCTGACACCCTTTACTAAGAGTGCCTGATGATCACTGGACTTGTCAGGAAGGGGTTTTTTGAAGGATTGTCTCTTTACCTGGTTGCCAAAAAACGTCACATGAGGTCTGGGAAGGTTTCTCCTGTGCAAATGGCAGAATAAAGACCTGAGGCTGGACCTGGGTCTCTTTGCATAGAGTCACATGCCCGAGGAGCTGGAAGCAGTAGAGGATGGCAGAAGCTCCTGGCAGGCGACTGAGAGGGGCTCAAAGACTGAGCGCACCTGAGTAGGATAAGTTTTAAAATTGGGATATATTCTTCTTGAACAGGACAGTGGCAGAGGACAGCTGATAGGGCTTAGCCACATAGAAACTGCTGTACACAACAAATGCTGGGATATCAGCAGCTGCAACAAGTTCAGCCACTAGTTGAAGTGCACTTTGCAAAGCTTTGCTGTGGAGCAGTGAGCCGTTCCCACCCTGCCCTCCTCCCTTCCTTCTCCATACCTAGCATCTTCCCACTGTGTCCATGTTCACTGTTTATGTGTTCCAAACAGATTGCTTTCTGGTTTAAAAGGTAGCAAATTGAAATAATATTAGACTATTAAAATATTTTCTGAGGAATTTTTCCACAGAATAACTGATGCATAATTCTTAGAAAATATAAACTCAAAAGATGTCTGTATCCTATCCATTCAAACGCAGCTTGATGGSATCAATGCATAAGTAGATTTTCCTCATCATCAGATCTCTTGGGAGCTAAGTGTAGTGGAAGCAGACAAGAGTAATTGATTTGAAACATATTCAGATTCCATTTTCATACTCTGTTTTCTGTCCCTAACATTTATARACTAAGTTTGAAGTCAGTAATTTGAGGATACTGGGAATTCTTTCTGACCATGTACTTCATGGTAAATATRTGGAGTCACATAGGAGTTACTCAGAAAACAGTTTTAAGTAGGAACAGCTTTTTCTGATCAGTTCCTTTTGCTGTTTAGCTTAAAATTATTTTTTATTCTGGGATTAGGGCAGCGATTCCAAGGTAGTTAGCCTTTCTAGTTTCTAACTCCGATACCTGCGTTTAGATGCTTGCGTTTAGAAGTGGCCCATATGTGTCTCCTGCCCTTGGTTACTTGCTCTTTGCCTGGGCACGCCACACATTTCCCACAGTAATAGTTTAATGACTACATCGTGTTTCATTATGCATGCCGGCTTATTTGAACAGTTATGGATTCTGTACATTTGATTTATATCTATTTTTTGCTATTTTTCACAGTGCTTTCAGATTCTTTATAAAAATGCACTATTATTTACTTAGGACATATCCCTACAAAGTCAATTCTGGGGCATAGGATACTTATATTTTTAAGTCATTTTGCCCAACTTAAATTCGTGCCCTACAGTTTTGAAATTATTTTTCAAATCTTGGGCGGTATTGTAAATTGCCTGTTTCACATATAATTGCTAGTGTAACAAGTAGAAATTAAAGTGTGTTGTGGTTATTTTAATTTGTATGTATTTGATTATCAGATAAATTGAACATTGTTTATTAGACAATGGTTCACATTTCCTTTGTTAAAATGTTTTCTTTTAATGTTTCTTTTTATTGATGAAATGTCTTTTTACTTGGTAAAAAGGAACATAAGTTTTCCTGTCTGGTTTTGGATTTGTATGTTAGTACTTAAGAGATCTTGTCTCCAAAGTTAAATGTTTTTCTCAGCGTGGACCTGTAGGGGTCTCTCTAAACCAATTTTTTGGAAATAAGAAACTGACTTTTAGACTGAAAATTCTCTGTGGTCCAGGGGCAGTCCCGGCGAGTTCAAGTTGAAGTGAAGTCTGTGCAGGAGTCTGGGACTTTGCCGTTGGTGGAAGAGTGTATACTGTCTGTTGGCATTGGATGCCTGAAAGTTAGACCACTCAGGTCCCCCAGAACTCTTGATGCCTTCCAGGTAAGTTTCTGTGACTGTTTTTGGTTTGTTCAAAGACCAACCCAGACCAGAGTCTTTGGGAACCCCGGGCACACTGCCTTCAGGGAACAGTGCTCTTGGCATTGCTTTTTTGTGGAGTCACCTAGCAGACTCTGCTGGCTTGCCCTGGTCCTGGCAAATAGAGGGTTAAAACTCTTCAGCCTCCGCCACTCCCCAGTGCGTGGTGATTAGCCGCTCTGCACTGCAGCCCCTCTGCAGAAGCCCCCCACTGGCTTGTGAAGCCTACTTGCCAGCAGGGGTTTGATTTCCCCTGGTGAGTGGGACTGTAAGCCCAGCAGGGTGAGTATTGTACTGGCTCCCGAAAAGGTCAAACAGTGCTCTTCACCCCCAACCCCCAGGGGCTCAAGGTTTTCCTCCACTTCCTGACAACTGTAAAGCTCTGACTGAGGGTGCTGTAGGTGGGAGGTGACACTGTATTTTAATTAAATCGAGGAACAGAAACTCTGGGGGAAGATTCAGACTGTGTAGCCTGATTCTTGGATAATTATTTTGGTTCTCCATGATGCACTTTTTCTTTTAGGAGGAAGAGGAGGACATGGACAGCTACCAGGTAATTGAGCGTCGGTTAGCCTGTCAGCTTGATTCAAGTACATAATTACACATTCTAGGAGCTTGTTGTGCTCTTACTTGATAATTAAGTAATTTTGATTCAAATGGTGCATCTTCTTAAAGTAACACAGAGTAGGAGGACTGTATTGTATCATGGGTATCATGGGTCATGAAGGCAGGTGTGTTAGGAGCAGAACATCACTTCCCTGTCCTTCCCCACACCTGGATCTCTCCATCCAGGCTCCTAAAGAGCAATTTCCCCAGCTGCTCTTCCCTGGCTTCTGCTTAAGTGGAGTCATTGGCCCTGCTCCTGTTCCAGTGTCACCCTGAGCGTGGTCCAGCCCTTGGTGTTTTTCCTTATTTGAAGCCAGTTCTCCTTGAATGCCCACCCTGCACTCATCCAGGGTTTTTGTGGTATTATTTTTCCCTTTCTTCTCTTTCCCTAATCTGCCATATTTTGTCTGTGTCTGTGAAGTTTCATCCTGTTAGTCATCCTTGAGGACTGTCTCAGCCCTGTGGAGCCTGATGATGTCATCCAGTGCAGTCTCTCTCTGGCTTTGCATCATTCTAATTGGATAGAAACGTCTGCGTTCCTGCAAGTCACTGATAAAACACATTGTATCAGATGGTGTTACATTCAGGGTCCTATGGCACAGCAGGAGAGACCTCTTTAAGCTGACATGATTCCATTACTCACTGCTGTTTAGATGTGGTATTTGAGTCCTCTGCGATCTTACTCAAGTAGATGCAATGCGCATTCCTCCATGTTGTCCACAAGAATGTCATGGGCTATTTGGTTAAGTGCCCTGGTGAAATCCAGATCCATGGCGTCTGCAGCATTCCACTGACCTACTCTGTCTTGTAACCTTATTACAGAGGAAATGAGGGAAGATTGGCGTGCTTGCAGGTGTTGACTGGTAGAGTTGTTGGTCTGCTGGTAAYGATCCCTGTCCTCTTGTCCTCCCCCATATACAATAATGGGAGAAGCATTTATGTGGCATGTCTCTAAGAGCCTAGTGCAACGTGGGAAAAGGGGTTGTAGCATTTAAAGCTCCTTCTGATGGTTCTGGGCTATGTAAATCTGAAGATTAGTGAATGGAGTTTGTAAGTTCTTTCCATCAAAGAGGCCTTATAGACCTTCCTTGCTTGGAGTTCTGTCCCATGAGCCACTAGAAATAACACTGGCTTGGGTGCCAGAGATATCCCTTTCAGAAATAATTCTGATTTAGAAGAAAATGCTTTAGATTCTGAGAGTTTCTCTTTTAAACTACAGTAAAGGTATCTGGTGGTGCTAATAATGAAGTTTTGTGTGATACATCTTTTAATCGTGTTAAAGAAAGGTGGACTAGAGCATCGGTTTCACAGGTACTGTCTTGACATCATGTTGTATGTGGTGAATATGGTTTCCCTTATTTTCTTCCAGGATCGGGATTTAGAGCGATTACGTAGAAAATGGCTGAATGTGTTAACAAAGCGTCAAGAGTATTTGGATCAACAGCTACAAAAGCTTGTCAGCAAACCTGGTAGGAAGAGTAACTCAATATTTCCCTCCCTGAAGTTGGTGAATAGTTGACCCCGTTCATAGTCATGTAAATGAAGAGCCTGTGTCAGCAATATGGATGGCAAGAGCACATGAGTGTGACTGGTTTGTGCCATGTCCCTTCAAGAGAACATTCATCCAGTTGTGATAATATGTTGGTGTGGTCCCCAACCCCCAACAGAGGAAGGGAATGCAGTGGGCAGAGCACATACTGGTCATTAGAAACAGCTTCAGGAAAGGCGCTGATGTTCCCAAGTGTTCTGCCTGGGCCAGGTTGCCATGTGCCCAGGGGCTGAAGGGGCRTCTCTGCAGGAGCCCAGCTGGCCTTTGCTTGGGTTAGCTCTTCTCACTGTGAGCACCCGGTGCCAGCAACTGAAACACGTGATAGTTCCAGAGGTAGAAACATCAAGTAGCATTTCTGGATCAAGTGTGTGTGTGTGCGTGTGCGTGTGTGTGCGCGTGTGCGTGTGTGTGCGCGCGCACGCGCCTGCATTACTGGTGATTAAACCCAGGGGTGCTCTATCACTGAGCTATGCCCCTTGTGCTTATTTTTTTTTTATTATTTTGAGACAGGTCTTGCTAAATTGCCCAGTCTAGCCCAGAACTTGTGGTCATCCTGCCTTGGCCTTCTGTGTTGTTGGGATTCCTGGTGTGCACCTCCATTCCTGGCCTAATCCTCATTCTTGATGTTCTAGATAAAACAGAAGATGATGCTGACCGTGAGGCACAGCTCCTAGAGATGAGGTTGACTCTAACTGAGGAAAGGAACGCTGTGATGGTCCCCTCTGCTGGCAGTGGCATTCCAGGGGCCCCTGCAGAGTGGTAGGAACCCCTCAGTTCTTGTGGAGTTCTGAGCATTCTCGAACCCCTGCTTTCCATTTGAGTTCTGGGTGTGCTGCTGTTAATGGAAGAGTCGTGATAGCATGTGACAGAGTTGTGTGAATTTAAGGAACTATTAAATTATTTTCATTACTAGAATAACTGTGGTCTAAAATAGCTGCTTTATTAAATAACATTGTTATTGGCCAAAGTAATTAAGATTTCTGAGAACTTAAATCAATATTTAGTACCMCTGTACTTAGCATTAAAAAAATAGTTAATATGTAAATTACTTGGATTATTCATTGCCTTAGAAGAATGTTCAGTCATAAGAAAATTGCATCTGCACCAGTTTTTTGATTTTGGTACCAGCTTAAACTGTACTGTCAGCAAATGTTCTGTGCCACTTTATAGAAATTAAAAATAGTAAGTTAAGCCACACAGAACCCTGGAGTATGTCCTTTAATAAGAAAGTAAGTTGAAATGGGGCTTTATWGAACAGATGAGTGGTCTTGCAGACCAGTTCTAGTGTCAGCGTAAGAAGTGGCAGTTACAGTTCAGTCTCTGTGGCATTTCTCATGTTAAATTGTAGGAGATCAGTGCCCAGGTGCTGTGGCTGGGACTGTGCTAGCCGTGAGTGTGTGCTGGGGCCATGTCCTCAAGTGTACTAGAGGAGCGTTTGTCTCTGTGTTTCAGGACACCAGTTCCTGGGATGGAAGCCCACATTCCTGTTATATTCCTTGACCTGAATGGTAAGTTCAAGGAGTTTTTGAAGGCTTACCTGGGCAAATCAGGTTAACGCTCAGATACTAACCAAGTGTGTCAGTACGCATCCTGTCCTCCTGAGGTTAGAGGCAATTTTTTGTGGCTCACACATTCTGATGCTGTTCAAAGACTGAGCTGTTGTAAGTCTTATTTTCCTAACAGCAGTAGACATCTGTTTCATTATGAGGCCTCCTCACATTTCACTGCTGCAACCCTGGTTCTGTGTGCATGCTTCCCCCATCAGTTCAGGATGGTGGTAATGTTTATCTGTATTAAAAATGTTTTCTTCTGGGCTGGGGCTGTAGCTCAGCAGCACTTCCCTAGCATATGTGAGGCACTGGGTTTGATCCTTGGCACTGCATAAAAAACCAAACAAATAAAGGCATGCTGTCTATCTACAACTATAAAAAAAATTTAAAAAAAATGTTTTCTTGGCTGGGTACAGTGGTGCACACCTGTAATCCCAGTGACTTGGGAGGCCAAGGCAGCAGGATTGCAAGTTTGAGGCCAGCCTCAGCAACTTAGTGAGATCCTTCTCAAAATAAGAAGTAAAAGAGRCTGAGGATGTGTGGGTCACTGGTAGGGCACCCTGGGTTCAATCCTCAGTACCACACATGCAAAAACTTTTCTCTTTATTCTTTAGGAAAGACTCCTCTCCAGAAGGGACTAATAATACTATGTAGCATGTGATACTATGTAGCATGTTTTCTTAACATTATGTAATAATTTTTGTACCTTTTCTGTGAGTCCTTATGAGCTCATTCCTGGATTACCTTTTTTTTTTTTTTTTTGGTAAATAACTGCTGTCTGTCCCCCCCACAATGTACTCTGCCTGTAGGAGGAAAAAATAGGACATGAAAAGGCAAGTAAAGGAGCTAAAACTAAGTTAAATGTCAGCAGTGAAATTCCTACAGCCTTTGAAAAAGAACTGTGTGGTGAAGGTCAAGGCCCCTAGGTAGACGAGCCGCGTGTCCTTGGTGGATCCCTTCCTCGAGCAGAAAGTGGTGCGCCAGGGTTCTGCACCTGTGGCCCTGAGCTCGCTCGCATGGAGGGTCCTCACATTTACCCAGAGGTAGAGYACTGGGCCCTGCCATGGCATGCGCGGCCACCTAATGGGGGGAGCTATTTGTTTTTKTAAGTATTGCTACAAGACGCAGTCCTGCCTGTTGTTCTCTAGAACCTTGAGGACTGAGGGTGACTGTGGTCTCTTAAGTCACGCTTCCCTGATGGGTGAGGGCCATGTACGTAGTTTGGGGGGGTTGTATAAGAAAGGGGGGGGGGAAGAGCCCGAGGAAGAAGGCCTGTTAGTCTGGATATTTGCAGAGATGATCAGGACTTTGTTGAGTGGTATACATGTTCTTAATCCACCCAAGCCCACTAGTCCTTTTTTTGAATTTTTAATTTGTTCTTTTCAGTTTTACATTGCAGTATATTTTGACACATTATACAAACAWACATGAGTGTAACTTCCCATTCTGTGGTTGCACATGATGTGGAGTTGCCCTGGTCGTGTATTCATATATGAGCCTAGGAGAGTGATGTCTGATTCATTCTATTGCCTTTCCTATTCCCATCCCTCCACCCCCACTTGCTTTTGATGCTTGTGCATTAGCTTAAGGTGGATGGGGACTGGGAGAGGGTTGGGCTGGGAACGAAACACCGTGATGCATTCCTAAGTAGGGCCTCTGGCTCATGTAGTCAGTCGATCCTTTTGTTGAACTTAACTGTCAAGTAACTGGAATCACTCTCGTTTATTTCTCATTTTTTCAGTGCATTAAAAGGTGGGGCACTTTGGTTACAGTCCTGTCATTACATGGGTGAGCAGACCTTGGGTTACCTCCTAGGTGTCTTGGCTTCCTTGCCTCCCGTGTGAGAGTAGATGTAAAGGGAGCATTGAGAGAGAGATGGTTTCTTGAGGCACTTTCCCTCTAAGATCTGTGAACTCTTAAATGGTCATCATTGTGTCACGTGAGATTGCATAGCAAAAGCAAATGAAATGTGAAACACAATTTTAATAATAAGCACATTGAAATTTAGCTGGTCAGGGTTACCCTTGAGGACCATCTCCAGGTTTAACGGAGCCTCTTTGCCGTCAGCTGATGATTTCAGCTCTCAGGATAACCTTGACGACCCAGAAGCTGGAGGATGGGATGCCACCCTGACTGGGGAAGAGGAGGACGAGTTCTTTGAACTCCAGGTCGTGAAACACCATGATGGAGAGGTGAGTCAAGCAGCGCTCGGGAGGGTCAGATAAAAACTAGTTCCATCGACTTCCCTGGAGCCTCTGGAAGCAGTCACCAAGGTGGTCATKTCAGTGCATATGCTTCTCAACCAAAACCCGTGGAAGCCTTTCCTTCTGACTTCTAAAAAGAGTGAGGCCTGAACATTCCATTTTGCCCATTCACCTTCCTCCTCCTCCCCGGGTGAAGGATCCTGTCCGTGTGGCCCCTGCAGGCCRGCAGTGGTCAGCAGCTGTCCTCTGTCCTCTGTCCTCAGCCCCTGAGGTGGAAGTTGAACTGCTGAAGCACAGGGTGTGTGGATGGCCCCACATTTGGGATTTACTTTAAAATTGTTTCATAAAAACTTTTTGAAAGGAGGAAAAAAACGGATGAAGGTAGTGTGTTGAAATCTTGATTTAATGCTTGAAGCTGTGTGATGGGTATATCCGGGGGCTTTAGTCCCTACTTTTTAACATGCTTGAAAAATTACATCATGAAGTGTTTCAGGGAGGAAAGCTGATGTGTTTCTAAGACACAGAGCTGAATTCAACGTGAGGACACACTCGGGCACTCGCTCTGAGCTGCATGCTCCAGGATGGCGGACAGGCAGGCCCTTCCTCGAGGACTGGGGCCTGTTGCAGATAAAGTGGGTGTTGGGATATGGCAGCCAAATGCACTGTATGACCTGGGGCAGGGGAGAGGGAGACATTTGAACACAGACTGTGTAATAAATGACAGTATTGTATCTATGGTGAATCTCCTGAGTGTGGCAGCTCTCTCCCACTCACTCCAAAGTGATTCAGCAAAAGTAGTATGTGTGTGTTGGTTGTGACAAAGAGAAGCAAAAGTGACCAAATCCTGACAATAGGTAGATCTCAAAAGGCGTATAGGAGTCCATGGAACTGACTTTTGCTACTTTTCTTGATGTTTGAGCACTTTTTAAAATTAAAAAAAAAAAGAAAATGAAGAGCAAGCAGCCCAGCCAGGAAAGCCCCTGCTCTCTGCTCTCCAGACTCAGGTGCCGGAGGCCACATCCTCACAGTCTTGTCTTTTCAGAGCGGTCCTCACAGGAGGACTTTAGCCTAACCTTGGTTTCTTTGGTGGAAAGCACAGTGCATTGTCCTACCTTCTCTGCAGGTGAAAGCAGAGGCCTCCTGGGACTCCGCAGTGCATAGCTGTCCTCAGCTCAGCAAGGGCACGCCCACAGACCAGCGCCTGTTCCTGATCGTGCGTGTGACAGTCCAGCTTAGTCATCCCGCTGACATGCAGCTGGTCTTACGCAAAAGAATTTGTGTGCACGTTCACGGCCGGCAGGTGAGGCCTTACTCCTACTCAACAGCGTTGTCACCACAGCCCGCCTGTGGCCAGGGCTGTGGAGTGGTCACTCTGGCCAGAGACATTGTCTAGGTGAGTGACTGTCCCATGACTGTGCTCACTCGAGTCCCCAGGCTGCCATTCTGACTTCCTTCTAATAGTACTAGATTGTTACACCGAATCTCTTTAGGGCAGATCCGCCAGTGGCAGCTGTTCTTGGGGTGCCTTGGGCCCTGCCCGGGYAGGTTCGGCAGTCCTGTTGCCTCTTCTTGCTGTTCCCTGGCAGATCAGCTGTTAGTTTATCAGCACGGGCTGCTTATGCTTCTCTTTCTAGGCCTTTCTTTCATAGCAGTCCTTGCCTTTGGGTTAAAAAGGTGAGTAGGAAACAGTGTGGGGCTGTACAGGGCAAAAGTGTCCTCACCGAAGCTCCCTGAGCAGCAGCTGCTGTGCTCTGTGCTGAGTGCTGGGGTGTGGGCCTCACCATGTGCCAGAGAACAGACTTCAGACAGAGGGAGGGAGGGCTGTGCAGAGGAGCATGCGTTGAGCTGGTACCGTACAGATAGAGCGTTTCATGGGGAGGAGGAGAGCACTTCTGCAGAGATCGTGAGGCGGGAGGGCCAGGGCAGCTGGGGAACTTAGGGACTGCAGTGTGGTGAGATGAGCCCATGCCAAGGAGCATGGTTGGGAAGAACCTCATGCCACAGGAAGGGTTAGGAGGGAATGTCTAGCTGAGAACTTAAACTCTACGGCTTTTCAAATATAAGGATCTGGGAGGTCGACCCATGGATCCTAAGTAACCGTCTCGCTCCCTTCTGTGAGGCATTCTCAAACTGACTGAAACCAGGACAGATGAAAATCAGTCTTGTCATTTAAAAKAGCACAGTCATGGTTGACAGACTCCTAAATGTAATCTCCTCCCCTAAAAATTAATCTTTAGTTCTAAATGTCACACTGGTATCAACCTTTGAAGTGAAGACTGGCCGTATGCTGTTGAAATGACAGCTCTTTAACTGCCAGTCCCACATCAGGAAGACCCCGGCCACAGGGTGAGCGCAGATGCCCACGCAAGTCTCCATGCACTCGTGTCTGGGAGGGCTTGAATGAGACACACTGCTCTTGGGGAACATTTTGAAGAAAGGGTTTCCATTCCAAATCACCCATCCTGGTTGGCAGGCCCTGAACCTGCCTGGCAGAGTCACCAGCCCTGCAGCGTCCCCCACAGAGAGGGCACTGTTTGTTTTCACTGTAGGGACAATGAGTTGCTACTTTTCTTCCTGGTATTTTTAAGACATCCCATTTCTCCTCCAATCTAAGATATTTCATTGCTGTACATTGCTTCTTTATAGCAAGGACAGGAACTTGCACATGGCCCCTTTCTATTTGTATTCCATGCAAATAGAAAACAAAAGAGTGCAGTAACAATGGCATTCACACTGCCCCCACTACCCGCCTCGAGGTAGTAGCTCAATAATAGCTCAGAGCCACCCACTGCCCACAGTATCCCTGACCTTGGCTCTGCGCTGTGAGACCAAAGTCCAGGCATGAAGGATGAAGTCGATGGTCTTTGCATTCTGAGGGGCTCAGATCTTTTAAAAAWTGATTAAAAAGATTGAATGGGAAATAAGTTCTTATTAGGTTTGTGAAATTATGCATTTTTGAGACTAAGTGGCTTGATTTTTGTCTTTCCTTTGGGTTTTTAATTTTTTCCAGTCACTGCCTTCCCTTTTGCTTAGGGAAAAGGGCTCCATGCCCGTTTCCTGTTCTCTCTCGTCCTTATCTTTATTCACCAATTGTATTCCGCCCTCATCACTGCTCTCCTCAACCTCTACAGGATGCTCAGTCTTAGCAGCATCTCCAAATGAGTCATCTCTGCATTAATTCAACAGTTCAATTCTGAACTGTGCAAAGAGCGCAGTCAGCATAAACAATGACCAGGCACTCTTAAATCATTCTTTATAACGATCCTGCTCTGGTCAAGAATTTAATGCCCGAACTTGTCAATATTCATGGTACAAAATGTCCATCGTACTGGGAGGGAGAAGCATAAGCGTCACCAGTCCTTGCTTACATCCTCTTTGGAAGGTCATTTCATGTGTTTTATTTCTATAGTGTTGAAGCAAAGTTTATCCAGATGCCTGGGGCCAGTTTCCAAGTCGTCCTCATGTGCTTGGTATGGGGACCTGTCACTGTAGACTCCTAGTCGTTTGGTTCTGTGCAGGGGAGGAAGTTGAGGAAGCTGTATTTAGTGATGTGAATTTCATTGCCTTATGTTGGAAATGTGCTGTTTTCATTTGATCAGAACTAACATAGTATCCGTCATGCTACCTCTGTGCTAGTGTAAACTCAGTTTTTGAGGCAGAAAACTTTATCTTCTGTTTTGTTTTTCTCTAGGGTTTTGCTCAAAGTCTCCTAAAAAAGATGTCTCATCGAAGTTCTATTCCTGGATGTGGAGTGACCTTTGAAATTGTCTCCAATATTCCAGAGGTGAAGGATCATATGCAATTTGAATTTACTAAAAATAAGAACTTAAAAAGAGATAACTCCCTGAAAACTCACGTATGCAAGAAATACATATTAACTGAAAATGTGTACTTAGGGAAATGCTGGAGGTTTCTAGAGGAATTCCTAATCTTAACTCAGAACACAATGAATTCRCGGCCTTAGCAGTTCTAGATTGTGTTTTGTTAAAGAAGAGCTTTCTTTTGGAAAACATCTCAGCATCTTTTTGCTCACGGCACACCGAAGAAGACAAGAGCATAGTGATGTGTGATGTGGCGTCACCCTCGGGGAGGCAGCCCAACCCGGTGTTGAGATTCGTGCTGGATTTTGAAATCAAACAAGTTTCATTCTTATCTCTTATTAGCAAAGTGACCTTGGGTCAGTTACTCTCATGTAATTTTTTTTTCAAATGGGGTTAGTCATACATTCTATGCAGGGTTGTTTTTAAGGGTTAATGAAACAGTGTGTGTAAAATGTAGTCCACATGACTAGGCAGTAAGTCATGGCTGCTGTGGCCATTGTTATATGAGTATTAATATTTTACTACCATTTTTACTATTTCCCTTTGTGAATTAGTTGAGATATTCTGAGGATTCAGATGATTCTGAGGATTTGGTGATTGAAACATGATAAGCATGTGGCTCATACACACTCCTAGTACTTAAGCCCTGAATTAGCTTCATTTGCTGGGCTGGGCAAGGAAGTGTCCCTTGTAGGGACAGAAGTGTGGGTCCTCAGAAGAGGACTCTGAAAACACAAAGGAGTGGTTCCTTCTCCTTCCCTCATTGTCAAAAGGGGAGTGAGAATAGATGGAGTTTCCTGGGGAGTGAAGAGATGGGACAGGGCACAGCCCCTGCCCTGATCAGCACTGCATCTTGACCTGCATTCCATACCTCAGGAATGTTGATGGATTCTGCTGCCTGTCTGCGTTGCAGGTGGGCAATGTGTGTTCTAAAGCAGGAGCCAGACCCTGAGAAGGAAACAAGTGGACTGCACAGCACTTGGGTTTTGCTTTAGATCTCTTGTATTGCAAGACACTTTTCTTCTCTCCATTAGTGTCCAATGGTTCTTTTCTAGATTTTTAAAGTTAGACTTAGATAGAAACCATTAACTGCTTAACTGTTTAATTTGGAGCTTTCTGAGCATTTAGAAATTAAGATGTTTGCAGAGTTGAGTCCACTGTGTAATCTTTGGTCTGAAGAAGGATCACTCTCTGTGCTTCATTCATTTGTTTGTAAGATTTTAAACAAGTAAACTTACACGTTTTGCTGGAGTCCTAACATTTATTCCCTGTATTTTGTTTTCTGCTTTTCCTCTCTTGGACCTTCACTTTGTCAAAAGGGGAGTGAGGAGATGGGCACAGGGCACAGCCCCTGCCCCTACCTAGGAACTGTCTTCCTTCTTTCCTTTTCCTCTACAGCTCCCTCTTCTTTCCTTGGAGGTTTCTTATTCTCTTTAAAAGTGCTTTATTTTTCGGGYGATAGTTTTAAAAGAGAAAACATGTGGGGGCAGTCGGTTTGGAGACAATACCCTCACGGGATGAGGTGTTGATAGCTAGCTGAGCAACCGAGTGGTAGACCGTTGTTTCTACATTATCAAATCCTGATGATAAAGAAAAAGGAAAAGGGAAACTTAAAGCTTGTGTGAGATTAGTCTTAGATGTAAAATGAGAAGAACCTTTATCAAGCTAGGGTTTCATCATGAAAAAGTCTCATGTGTGCCTTGTGTTGCATGTTCCAAAAGCCATGAGAAAGGAGCGGTCTAGCCAGACGGCAGCGAGACAGGTTCTGTCTCTCTCTGGGAAACTGCTCCCTACAGCCTCTCACTAGCTCTGTGTGGACTGGTGAGAGGGGTCCTCAGTGCCTAGGAGTCCTAGGCCCAGGGGCTCCTCTTCCCTCTCTGGCTAATCGTGGCTGACTCCTCTCTCCATGGTCATCACAGGCCCAGAGGAAACTGTAGGAGGCAGTGTCTTGGTGAACTTAAGCCAGTTGATAAATCCGCCTGTATTTGATCTGTTCTAAGACTTGTTTATAGTCTTTAAAAAAGTCCCTGAAATTAGAATGCCTTATAACTGATGGTATCTTAAAATTAATTGGCAGGTCTTTTTCCTTAGTTGTGTATAAATGTTTGTCTTATGTTGATGGCATTTAAGATGTGATAACATCTGGATGTGCATCGTGTAGTTTTTGGTATAAGAAACTCACAAGTAAACGTAGTACCTGATTTTCCCTGAGAAGAATTTGCCATGAAGATGTTCTTCTTGAAACAAGGACATACATGAATAAGATCACACATTAACAGACTCATGAGTTTCCCGTTCACGTGCATGGCCAGCTCAGGCCAGCTGGCTCAGAGGGTAGGATGGCCTCTACTGGAAGCAGGCCAGTGAGAAGTTGCCGCCATTCTTCCTTCTGGCTCTGAGCCTGTGGCCCCTGCAGCCCAGAGTGAGGATGGACACTGCGTTGAAGTTCTGCCACCCATGATGGGCTGCTCAGCGACCGCTGAAACCCAGCCCTGTCCACCTGCCTCTGCTTCCCGCTGAGTCGTTGGGTCCCTGTGTCTGGCAGGTCATCTTCCCTTCCTCGTGCCCTGAGTTGCCCCAGAGCTGTGTGCCTGCAGCGCTCTTGTCCTAGTGGCCTTATTTCTGGCTGGCCCACAAAGGCGTTTCTGACCAGTGACCTGTTTTCTGCAGTGGACATAGAGTAGGAGCAGGGTTGTCAGAAGGTGCTTCTGCAGCTTTACCCTTCACGTCAGCTGCTGCCCGAGTCRCCACGTCACAGTTTCTGTGGAAAATTCTGAGTTCCAGAAGCCAACAAGAATGGGAGTGTTTGAATCTCTTCCCTTTGTCAGTTCAGAACACCTAGAGTGGACCAAGACGCTCTTGGGCACTGGCGTCTGCACCCTGCTTGATTTCAACAAATGGTGTTCTCTTCTGCAGGAGGCCCAGGGAGTGGAGGAGCGAGAGGCGTTAGCAAGGATGGCTGCCAATGTGGAGAACCCGGCTTCCGCCGACTCAGAGGCGTATATCGAGAAGTACCTGCGGAGTGTGCTGGCCGTGGAAAACCTGCTGACCCTGGATCGCCTGCGCCAGGTCAGCGGTGCCCTTGCTTGGCCTGGTCCTACACCTGTCCAGCGTGATTGCATGTGAATTCTAGTTAACCTTGAATAGCCTAAGTGATGAAATGATGTCATTCTGTCGTGCCAAGTGACAGCCCTCATGTGAGCGTGAGGGAAGCCTGCTGCAGACTGGGTTGCTCTGGGCGCACCTGTAACTGCCTTCCCCTGCCTGTGTTCTGATTCCAGGAAGTGGCCGTGAAGGAGCAGCTGACCGGGAAAGGCAAGCTGAGCAGGAGGAGCATTAGCTCTCCCAATGTGAACAGAGTGAGTAGCCGGCTGGCTCGCGGGGCAGCCAAGACCCTTCTCTCCTCCTTGCTGGGCTAAATGTGGGCGCCTTGAGCCCCCAGGTGACACTCCCTTCCTTTCCTCAGGGACGCCTGGCCCTTCTTCACTCCACCTCCTGCTGCTGTGGGAGCCCTGTGGGAGCCCTTTCGTGCCTTCCACACGTTCTCCTGTCTGCCTGCCACCACAGCTAGTGCACCTGTGGAGTCACAGGTGTCTGTGGAGCTAAGCCCAGGGTAGCCGCGTGCCAAGGGCAAGCCAGCTTGGCTCCTCAGCTGGAGTCGATTATTTTTATGTTGAGAAGTCTGGAGTAGGTAGTAGTAGATAGTTTGTGAATTTCCATTTACTACTAGCACCCAGAGAAAGGGCTCAGGCCATGGTGGGTCGCCTCAGTGCACGCCCACATACTGGTCTGTGATAAGCCTCCCACCAGAACGTTGTCCGTGACCAGCTCAGTGTTTCCATGTCCCAAGGGCACTGGTCTTGATTTGGTTCTTAGATGAGATGTTTCATGCTTTCACAACTGAAGTATTGATCCCCTGCCTCCGTTTCTTCCCAGTTGTCTGGAAGCCGGCAAGACCTTATCCCCTCGTACAGTCTGGGCGTCAACAAGGTAAAGGCGGTCCCTGTTCCTGTCTGTTTCGGTCTGTTTCCGTTCAGCCTTCATCTGCTCCCCTCTCCCAGGGGAACTTTGCATGCCAGAGTTCTTCCTGCTCCTGTGCACCGTGTGGCATTTACTGGGAGATGTTTAGAGTTCGTTTGTTCTAATCTGCCACAACACCCTCTTATTACTGGGATTAAAAAACAATTTTTTTTTTGCTAATATTTCTATCTACAGTATTCTCTCATTTCTGCCAGAAAAGGAATTTCATATCAGCTTTTGAATAGTGAAGTATTGATATAGTGATTCAAAATTTATAAGGAAGAAGACAATTATACCTGAAAGTTAATAGTGTTTGTTAAAAGGAAGAAAAATCAGGGAACAGAAATTTTATTAGCTAGAATTTACTTATTTTGTTGTTAATACAGCTTTGCCCTGTAACAGAGTTTCCAGCAATAGAAACCCAACACTGTTTACTTGAGRAAGGTTGGTGCTCCTGTACCCACCTTTCTGGAAGCCTGCATGTCATAGTTGGTGCCTGTGTTTTCTGAGGGACCTAGTCAGTGCTGGTGCTGGCCTGTGTCATGCTCCCTAATAATGCTATGGCCCTGCATTGGCGGTGGTGTTGCTATGTGAGTGCTGTGGCGTGGGCTGCCTCAGAATCACCAGGGGCGAGAGGTCGAAGGGCTTTTCAGTGGCAGTCAGCATGGCCGAGTGGGCTCTTGATGCTCTTTCTATATACTACTCTTTCTCTACTTGATAATTTTTCTTTTCTTTTTTTTTAATAATTTTTCTATACTCCTTTTGCATGTTTGACATTTTCCTTATAAAAATTTACAGTGAAAAAGAAGTTAATAATGAAGGACTTATTTTAAGATCTAGATTATTAGTGGTTTGCCTACACATACACACACACACACACACACACACACACACGTAAACTACTCTTCTTCAGTTTACTGATGCACTACATGTGTGTGGGTCTCTTAGTTCTTATTTATGCTAGAACACTGAATTATTCAATTAGTTCAGCTTAGGACCTGAAGAAAATAGAATTCTTGAAAACTTGATTGTATAGTGTTTTTTTTGGGGGGGATACCTGAGATTGAAACCAGGGGTGCTTAACCACTGAGCCACAACCCTCCCTGCCCTTTTAAATTTCRAGACAGGGTCTCACTAAGTTGCTTAGGGTCTTGCTAAGCTCCTGAGCCTGGCTTTGAACTTGTGATCCTCCTGCCTCAGCATCCTGAGCCTGTGGGATTTTAGGTGTGTGCCACCACACCTGGTTTGTATAGTGATTTTTAAATGTGAATGAAGAATGTATCTTAAGGAAAATATAATAACAAGCATGACTTCCTGTGTTTTGGGAAGTATATATGACCCAGATCTTCCTGCTGTCTTTCCTGTCTCCCCTCACTTTCCTTGTCTCAGAACGGAGACGGTCATAGCATCTGTTTCAGAGAGCATGGCTGTGCTTCATCCACACCCAGTGCACAGACCGAGGCACACAGATGCTGCTCCAGAGGTCCAGACCCACACAGTGAGAGCACCTGGAGGCAGTGCCCGCTTTCCAGGCATCCTGCAGGGGCTGGGAGGGGCTCAGAGGCAGGGAGGCTGTGTGGAGCCTGAAGGGCTGTGCGGAGGGGCACACAGGCAGGCGAGGAGCCRGAGCCCGGGTTCCCGGCAGAAGCACCCACGTGAACACAGGCCCAGGAAGATAAGCTTGGCCTGTTCACGACAGCACCTGCTGCCAGTCAGGTGGCGGGAGCTGCGGCGTGTGCCCATAGCTGAGGACTTGTTTATAGGGCTAAAACTCCTTGCCAAGGAGTGATGGGGCCGGGAGGCCATGGGGAACTGGAAGACAGGGCAGGGATTGGCCCACATTTGAACTGGACAGTTGGCTTGAATGGTCCAGCTGAGCTCTACCTGTTCCGCACATGCCAGTGTAGTGTGTAAGCTTACACTAGCAAACTATATACAGTGCAAAGGTGAGAAACACTTGTTTGAATTAGAAAGTGGGAGAGCAGCTAGGGGAGGGAGAGAGGAAGAGAGATGGGATGCTAGGAGAGATGGACCCCAGAATAGAGAAATGGACTCCAGGAGTCGGTGGACATGAAGGAGGTTGAGGGAGGGAGGAYGAGAGTGAGGTCCGGGTTTGGGTGACTGCGAGATCACTGAGAGATGAACCGCAGGAGAAGCAGGTTTGGGAAGTTCTACTTCTGAGGTAACAAGATTGAAGATGAAGCCAGGGCTGGGGTCAGGTGAGGGAGCCCCAGGGACAGTGGAGACAGTGCAGGGAATTAGGTGTCACTGGGAGCTGTGAGGGAAGGCTGAGAGGCCAGGGTTGGGAGTGCGGGGGAAGTGTTACAAGGAACCCTTCCAGCTCTGGAGAGGGTGCATGAAATGAGGGCTGGCAAGACTGCTTGGGACGTGGCACGGAGGGTTACTCTGCACCTTTCCAGGGCCATTTCTGCAGGGGGTGGGAGAAGCCCAGGGTCTTAGTAGGACATGTAATGTGTTTTAGTCAGAATCGTCATCGCCATGACAAAAAGACCTGGCAAACAGTCAGGTTTCGGAGGTCTCTGTCCATGGTCAGCTGACTCCACAGCTCTGGGATCCGGGAGAGGCAGACCATCATGGTGGAAAGGCCTGGCAGAGGAAGGCAGCTCAGAGCTCTCGGCTCAACAGGGCCAAATATAATCCCAAAAGAGATCCCCAGTGACCTCCTTCCTCCAGCCACACCCTACCTGCCTACAGCTACCACCCCATTAATTCATGTTAGTAGATTAATTCATCAACCAAATTACCCCCTCATCACCCACTCATTCCACCTCTGAAAATTCTTGCATTTTTTCACACATGAGCTTTTGGGGGACATTCATATCTAGACTATAATATAACTTTAAATGCATAAAGGGAACATTACACCTTTTTGTTGTAGTGCCGGGGCCTTCCTTCCCTTCTTTAGTTCTTGATTTGTTGGGGTGCTTGAGTAACTTGGTAAAGAAGAGGAAAGTGTCATTTCCTCTTTTGCTCATGTTGTGATGCCAGTGTGGGGAGAATGGTCTGGCTCTTCCCTCCCTTTCCATTCCCGTAGCTCTTGACTGTAGCAGAAAGGTCCTGCTTGTGTTTGGGGTTTGTGCTGTCCTCCCACACCCACCCTGACTGTAGCAGTCCCCCTCTGAGCAGCAGAGAAGTGTTATTGGGAAAATCAGAGGGTGCTACTTGCCAGTCCCAACAGCACACCCATTTCCACACGGAAGCATCTTTTTGTCTTCTTTTGAAGCTGAAAGGCTACACCTGAGCTGTAGTCAGCCCCTGGTCATTGCCTCATGTCCATATCAGGAGGTGAAAGGAAGGTCCACAGGTTAAAATGAGAGCATAGTTGCTTTTGCACAGGGACCAGATGAGGGAGAAGTGCTTTTGGACAGATTATTATGGGTAGGGCTGTGCAGGGACTAAGGACATGCGGGTGATAAGAGTCAGGATTCTAGCCAAAGGGTTTATGCAAGCTTGCTTGAGGAGGGGAACAGAACAGCCCCATTTCCCACTGACGGTGCCTACAGTCATCTTACCTTCTAAGGTAGAGCATCTTAAGTTCTTAGGGGCTAGGGATGTGGCTCAAGCGGTAGCGTGCTTGCCTGGCATGCGTGCGGCCGGGGTTCAATCCTCAGCACCACATACAAACAAAGATGTTGTGTCCGCCGAAAACT